GAAACTTGAGAAATCCTGTTTTAGCATGGGTTGTTATACAAAAAATACCAGTCACCAGAAAACAGTCATGGGCTCAAAAACTCATGTTTTTACAATTATCCCACTATGGTAAAACTTTTTAAAAACACAACTAGAGAGTTTGTTTTTCTATTCATCCATAGTTTATATTCAGAAGAAACAATAAATGCTGTGTATATGTAAGATATCAAAAGAAAGTCCTATCTATATTATAAAGTACAAAATCTAATTGGTGTGAGTTATTATATAAGAATGCAGAAAATTACAAGAACAAAAATTGCAAAAATGCCAGTTGCTCTGGTCTGAGGGTGAGAATATCTAGGTGCTGTGTGTGAGTGAGTATACAGATAGGTAGGATTTGATGTTAAGATATGTTCTTGTCCCTCCACTCACAGATAAAAGAAGGCTGTGTTTACATTGGTGGCTAGTAACACCTCCAGTGGCAGTCACTCAGGCAGTCACTAGAGGTGCTTCCTGTATGGTGACACTGAACTTTCCCCATAGAGATGCCTTGATTCAATCCATCTCTATGAGGAGATGAGCAGTAGCCTCCCAGTGCTTTCCTATGGGAAAGCTTGGATTGCAGAGACCATCAAGATTGATAACCTCAGCCATGGAGACCGACATAGCGTGGGAGAAAAGGTGAGTAAAATCCCCTTTATACAGAGATTGAAGGGGGCGGAGCCTGACCACCTAGTTATGCAGACGTGGGTAACACGAGCTCCTGCCTGGCGGGCAGAAATTGTGGTAAAATCGGCGGCTACATAGCCCACGGACTTACCAGGGTGCACTACCCACGTTGGGTGAATCGAGTGACACCTCTTTGGAGCCCGAAGGGGCCCGGGGCATGGAACGCGAAGTGCGGCCTACTGGAGTTGAAGCCGGGGAGAGGAGGCCGCTCTCCCTGACACCGGACCCCCCCAAGCAACTTCTCTGGTCTCCTACTCCCCGGCCCCTTTGGACCGGTGGGGGTTATCCCGGTCCCCACTGGATAAACGGAACAGGACTGCTGACGGGCAGGATAACGCTTTACCGACAAATGCCAGAGCTGGATCCAAGCACAGGGGGGCCTACAATGACAGAATACAAGACTTTCCTGCACTGAGCATAAGCTGAAGCGCCCATTACTCTGCCCCACAGCTGATATTCCTTACTTTAAACACGTTCTCGGCTGTCACTATGTATAACCAGTTTACCATGATGCCTTATTTAGTATATATCCCAAGTGAATAATGTTTTCTCTTTTATTTAGCCTGAAGCAACCTTTGCCATCATTATAGCTTACTACCCAGTTACCTTCAACTACTATGAAATCTCTCATATAACTAGCCACGCTGATTCTGCTTCATTACCTGATACTAGACTACCCCTCATAAACTGGTCAAAGAGAGGCACAGGCTAAAGGCAAATAGGCAGATTCCACGATTACCTCTGCAACTAGCTTTAAAGGACCACTCTAGGCACCCAGACCACTTCAGCTTAATGAAGTGGTCTGGGTGCCAGGTCCATCTAGGATTAACCCATTTTTTTTATAAACATAGCAGTTTCAGAGAAACTGCTATGTTTATAAATGGGTTAATCCAGCCACTAAAGCCTCTAGTGGCTGTCTCATTGACAGCCGCTAGAGGCGTTTGCGTGCTTCTCACTGTGAAAATCACAGTGATTTGCCATGCTTTCCTATGAGACTGGCTGAATGCACGTGCAGCTCCTGCCGCGCATGCGCATTCAGCCTTAGAGGAGGATCGGAGGCGGAGAACTCTCCGCCCGGCGCTGGAAAAAAGGTAAGTTTAACCCCTTTCCTTGCCATGCAGCCCGGCGGGAGTGGGACCCTGAGGGTGGGGGCACCCTCAGGGCACTATAGTGCCAGGAAAACAAGTATGTTTTCCTGGCACTATAGTGGTCCTTTAAGCACTGCAGTAGTTCCTTTAATTTAAATGTATTAATTTTATTTTTGATAATACTTGTTCCCAGTGGTCTTATATTTTGTTGGATCTTGATAAAGCATAAGCACTTATATGTCTAGAGTAGATATTACTGCGATGATACTCTACACTATAAGCAAGGTCTAGATATGTTCGCTTAGCATGTTAACTTCAAAGGTTACAGGATTAGCCAGTTACTATACTACTAAACACTGAGATATGTAGGATTTTCGTGTAACCATGTTGTTCCTCATTAATATAAAATGTGCACTGTTCCTCATGTCACACAACTGTTATAATATATTCAATGATATGCATGCACCAGCTGTTGTGGCAGTGCAACCCTGCTTGTCTAATCTATGCACGAATAAATATATTTTTTTTAAAATACAGAGATTGAAGGGGATCAGTCACCTAAACAGCCATTTCAGGATTATAGTGTCAGGAATAGTGTTCCTTTAATGTTAGAATCTGAAATACATGATTAATATAGCCTGCACTGGATTACCAAATCCTGACTCAATGAAAAGATATAAGATAAAGCAAGGCTTTCTTACATTTGAACACTACCTGAATCTTATAATTCACCTGACTCCTACTCTCTCCCAATCACTTTAATATTATTCACTTCTCATCCACCATACTCCCCATATGTTAAACCCCAGCATTTTTGTTATTAATTAACTTTATATGTGTGTAAATGAAGAATTTTAGAAATTTGCTTCATGATTTGATGTGGTAGGTCCTAGCCACTTCCTATACAACTGTACCAAATATTTAAACATTTGCATTATCTTAATAGTATAGCCATAATATTTACTATAGCCCACTTAGTCTAATCTTACTTAACTGTATACAAATATCCAGATCACAGAGAGTAATGTTCAGAAAATACATTATCCCAAATTACTGCTAGACTAGCTATTAGCTCATAGTTCAACTCGCTCCCACCTTCATGCTATATTCACATTCTTTTCCCATTCTACCACTCTTCTTATTAGCTTTGCATTCATCTTTCTTCTACCACTAATGTCCTAATATCTTCTTATCAACTTTTCACCAATTATGCCGAATCTCAGTACTGTAAAATAGTTAGGATCCTCAATATGTATTTAAAGGGATGCTCCAGACCACTAAAGCACTTTGGATTGTTGAAAAGCTTTATTTGCGCAGAGTTTGTCCTATTTATTTAATTTTGCAAAAAGTGCAGCTTTCAACAGAAATTCATACTTTTATAAATTAACCTGGTTATACTCCCCTGGCCTCCAAGTATGCAAAAGGTCCTGTTACGTCCAGGTTTGTTTAGCTCAGTGGAGCAAAACTCAAGATGCAGCAATTGCTCAGAGCACCTGCCTTTCAAAAATTTCTGATTGAGCTGCATTAGGAAGTCTGTGATTGGACAGACACAGAAAGTCTGGGCGTGGTTAGTAGGGGAGAGTTTGCAAAGGCTACAGACAAAGAAAGAGATTTTTAGACATACCCTAATTAAAAAAAAGCATAATTATATGCATGCAAATTTTAGTTCGGGGTATATGTACTAAACAGTGGTTTATTTTTAATTTGTATTTGGGCAGTGGAGGGTCCCTTTAAGTGTTGCTATTAAGGATTTCAGAAATCCATTATATAAATGAATGTGGTAGGTCCTAATTACATCCTAAAAAATGGCACCACAAATGTATTAATATTTACATTAATAGTACAGCCATGATATATATTATAAACCATTTAGTGTAATCTTCGTAAGCTGTATACAAAATCAAAAATGTCAATGTCTTGCCAGAACACATACCAAGATTCATAAAACACATTATCTGTGCTTACTGGCTGTAAATATTTTGCTGTACAATGTTGTATACCCAGATGCACCCTGTACTGGTGCTGTTTAGTAAAAACCCATCTGATCTACTTTCCTGCTCATGGCACTCATATCTAGTTCAACAAGGACATTAGAATTCTACCTGTTTTTATATAGAGACTATAACGTTGAACAGGTGTATAAAATTGTTTGCGGAGGGAGAAGGGGTTAATGCAAAATAAGCAAATTTAGCAGTATTAACCTCTGGAGGGATTCCCAAAAAGCACAATCCACTAGAAATTTCAGTTTCGTAAATTACTTTCATTAAAGTTATAATCCTATACATGTCAAAACTCCCCACTGAGACATGTAGAGAACTAGTAGTGAGAAGTGGCCAGGAGGGAATGCAGAGAAGCAAGAAGGTTTGGATTCATTATTAGTGCTGGAAGACTGTGAAGGAGTTAGTTAAAGGGACAGTGTAGCATTAGGAATAGCCATACTTCCCAACAATGGAAGATACAGATGCAGGATGCCATGCCAGGGTGACATTGAGGAGTGGGTCCACCCAGTAAATAGGCAGGTTCAGAGTTGACTGACAGCTACTCTGTTTGGCCTGACTGGCTGGTTAATGAGAGTTAGGCTTAATTAAGGCTAGCTATGGTTAGATATGGTTAGTGCTAGATAGAGTTAGATTGGGTTAGCAGTAGGGTCAGGGTTTGACAGCTGTCATCAAACACCTTCTCTGTGAAACAAACAAAGAAGAATGCCAAAATTAGGACTGGTCTTGGCCATATATGTTCCCCAATAATCTGGCAAAGGTATACATATGGGATGTTACTGTAATTATGAGATGCAGCAGAATAAAAAAGAAATAAATGTAATTCCCTGCTGTATTCAGCAGATATTGGTGATGAAAGTCATGAAGGGGTAAAGATTTATATTTTGTCTCAAAAGTGGCATGGATGCAGTTTACCACTTCACTATGAAAGTCAAGTATAAACATTTTCTTTTAATCTATTTTGCAGTATGAAAGTGAGTCCATAAAGCCTCACTCGCACTCATTTATACTCTAGGAATGATTGCAAATCTGTAGAGGAACAAATTACTCTGCCAGAAGCGACTAGTCACTGATAAAATGCCTTCAAGTTTACTAAAAGAGTAGGTTTACTTCCTGTTTCCAAACAGTAAAGGACGTTTCAATGGGTGATATCATTCCTACAGTCAGGGAGGAGGAGAAGTGAATGGACTTTTAGTAATGCCTTCAAGGTCCTTACAAATCCCTACAATGTACTGTACACTGATCAGCCATAACATTAAAACCAGACATGTGAAGTTAATAACATTGATTATATTGTTACAATGACCATGGCACCAAGTGAACAGTCAATTCTTGAATTTCATGTGTTGGAAGCAGGAAAACGTGGCAAGCAAAAAGATTTGAGCAACTTTGACAAGGGCCAAACAGTGATGGCTAGACGACTGGGCCAGAACATCTCCATAAAAGCAAAGCTTGTGGGGTGTACCCTGTATGCAGTGGTTAGTACCTACGAGATGTGGTGGAAGGAAGGACTACGAGTAAACCGGAGTCAGGATCATGGGTGCCCAAAGATTATTGATGCATGTGGGCAGCGAAGGCTAGCCCGTTTGGTCCAATAACACAGAAAAGCTACTGCAGCTCAAATTGCTGTAAAACAGAATGCTGGCTATGATAGAAAGGTGTCAGAATACATAGTGCATTGCAGTTTGCTTTGTATGGGCCTTCGAGTCCATGATCATAGGTGTGTGCACCGGGTGTGCCTGGGCACACCCTAATCCCCGCGGCACACCTATGGATTGAGACCGGCAGATGAGATCTCAGGATCTCCCCAGTTGGCTCATGCAGAGCCGGCGCTATCCGAGCACCGGCTCTGCTCAAAGCCTCCATGGTCCGGTGGGGAGATCAAAGATCTACCTCACCGGCCCACAGCAGCATGGAGGGAGGCAGGAGAGGACCCGGGGAGCTCTAGCCAGCAGCTCCGCCGGGTTCCTCTCGCGATATCTGAGCGTTGCCTAGCCTGTGGGAATAGAGTTCACTCTCCACTGAACCACCAGGAAAGGCACATGGCAGCCAGGATCCCCCCTCCCTACATAAGTTAAGAAGGTAGGAGGGATATTTACTCATCTGCCCCCACCTCCACCCCCACAATCCCTCCAAACATACAGCACACACACACATACAGCACCCTCATACACACAGCACACAAACAGGAGCCACACACAAACAGCACCCTCACACACACACACACACACATAGCACCCTCACACACACTGTACACTAACAGCACCCTCACAAACACACACACACACACACAGCACCCTCACACACACAGCACACAAACAGCACACAGCACACACACAAACAGCACCCTCACACACAGCACACTAACATCCCCCTCACACACACAGCACCCTAACACACACACAGCACACTACCAGCACCCTCACACACGGCACACTAACAGCACCCTCACAAACACACACACACACACACAAACACTCTCACCCACACATCACACTACCAGCACCCACACATCACACTAACAGCACCCTCACACACAGCACCCTCACACAGCACACTAACAGCACACACACAGCAGTGTATGTATGTCTGTGTGTATATATATACATACATACATAAACACACGGTGTGTGCTTTAGGGTGCACACCCTAATGCAATAGGCTGCGCACACCTATGCCCATGATGATCCCTGTTCACTGTTGAAAGTGCCTTAAAAGGGTTATGTGAGAATCAGAACTTCACCATGAAATGGAAAAAGGTTATCTAGTCTGATGAATTATGTTTTCTTTTAGATTAAGTGGGTGGCCAGGTGCATGTGTGTCGTTTACCTGGAGAAGAGATAGCAACAGGATCCACTATGGAAAGAAGGCATGCGGGGGGAGGCAGCATTATGCTCTGGGCAATGTTCTTCTGTGAAACCTGGCATTCATGTGGAGGTCACTTTGGCACGTAACACCTACCTAGAGATTGTTGCAGACCACGTACACCCCTTCATGGCAATGATGTTCCCTGATGGCCTTTGTGAGATTTACTGGAACAACAAATCCAATCCATGGAAGCTACACCTCGCAACTTGCAGGACTTAAAGGATCTGCTGCTAATGCCTTGGTGCCACATACCACAGTACACGATCAGAGGTCTTGTGGAGTCCATGCCTTAAAACATTAGATTTGTTTTGGCAGCACGAGGGGTACCTACATGATACTAGGCAAATGGTTTTAACTTTGTGGCTGATCAGTGTATGTGGGAAAATTTGTCCGTTTGCTTTTATACTTACATATCAGGCACTGTGTGGAATTCTGCAAAATAAAGGATACTGTATAGTATCTAAAGCTTTTAACTTCTTAAATATTATTATAAAGAATTAATAAAAAGTGAAAAATAAAAATTGAGGAAAGGCCTTTCCTTAATTTTGATCTGTCTGCTGTTTAGTAGATAGCTAATATAACATAACAATTAATAATTATTAAATATTAATAATTAATAACTTATTTACCATACTTATGTGAGGTTGCTATATTTAGGATACCAAATTAGGGAGCTTTTGAGCAGATCCCTGATTTGATCATTGGCATCCCTATGGCAATACAAAATAGGGAAATATGCACTAAAAAGCTGAAAGATCAAAATTATGAAAAGGACTTTACTTAAACACCCTATAGTGTTAAAACCCCCATCTAGCCCCCCCTGGCCCCTTATGCCTCCATAAATATAGTAATAATCTTACTGTATTCAAGCCTGAATATTTAACTCTGCATGGTGTTAGACTCAGAAAAACAAGCAGTCTGCTGACATCATCAGAAGTGGTAGCCTGATCCAATCACAATGCTTTCCCATAGGATTGGCTGAGACTGGCAAGGAGGCAGATCAGGGGCAGAGCCAGCACAATTCAAACACAGCCCGGGCCAATCAGCATCTCCTCATAGAGATGAATTGAATCAATTAATCTCTATGAGGAACGTTCAGTGTCTGCATGCAGAGGGAGGAGATACTGAATGTTTGGATGCAAGTTAAGTAGTGAATACCACCTCTTGCGTGATAGATCTAATGAAAAAAACAGTTGATCAAACCTGATCTAACAAATATCTACCAAAATCAATTAAAAAAAATTCAAATTTCACTTGAGGGGGGGCTAACCCATAGTCACGCCCACAAAGTTAGGTAGTGAATACCGCCTCTTGCGTGATAGATCTAACGAAAAAAGCAGTTGATCAAACCTGATCTAACAAATATCTACCAAAATCAATTAAAAAAAGTTCAAATTTCACTTGAGGGGGGCTAACCCGTAGTCACGCCCACAAAGTTAGGTAGTGAATACCGCCTCTTGCGTGATAGATCTAACGAAAAAAACAGTTGATCAAACCTGACCTAATGAATATCTACCAAAATCAATTTAAAAAAATTCAAATTTCACTTGAGGGGGGGCTAACCCGTAGTCACGCCCACAAAGTTAAGTAGGGAATACCGCCTCTTGCGTGATAGATCTAACGAAAAAAACAGTTGATCAAACCTGATCTAACGAATAGCTACCAAAATCAGTAACATTTTGTCCAAATTTCAGTTGAGGGGGGGCCAGCCCCCCCTAATTATATATGCAATATCTCAGTAATTAAACTAGATCAAACAAAAATTTTGCCTGATCAAACCTGATCTAATGTAGAGCTATCATAATCAACAACATTTTCTCCAAATTTTTGTTGAGGGGGGGCTGGCTACGGGTTAGCCCCCCCTGACAATGATTGTTAATATTGCATATTTTAGAGTAGATCTAACGAAAAAAATTGTTGATCAAACCTGATCTAACAAAGATCTAACAAATGGAATAATCTTTTGTTAAAATATTCAATATGGGGGGGCTAACCCGGGGGTGGTTGCATATTTTTTTAATGGCTTATCTGTAGAACACATTCAAACCAAGGGATCTCATGAATTTTTATCAGTTGAAAACTAGAGCAAAGTTTTTAGTGTTAATTGCTGGAGATTTAATATTAATTCCCAAATTTAGGAGAAAACATAAAAATTTAAACACATTTGTTTTCACTTCGGCTATTTAGGCCAAACATGTCATGTTTTACATTAATCTAATTCCAAAACTTCATACATCATTAACCTATGCCAGGAGGCAGGCTGTCATAGCAGCAACTAGTAGCCATGAAAATGGCAAACTAGGGTCTAAACACCCTAGCCATGTTAACTAGCTCTGTCCTGCTGTGGGCCTGTTTTCATTGCGGCCGCTAGGGGCCGCCGCTACAGGGAGAATGAAGCTGGGTAGGCGTCGAATGTGCCGCTGGATTCTACAACTGCAGTTTACCTCGTGCGGTCTCCTAGGAAACGGCATGTGGCCAATCGGCAGGTAGCGTTCTCTTCGTCATGGCAACACTCGAGACGCGTTCGGAGATGAAGGCCTGGCAAGTCCTGGCACCGCGTTGATCCAGAGCCCGGGGGAGAGCGGGGATTAGCCGCTTACTAGCTGCTGGGACAGAGCGTGGTATTGGAGGCTCAGTATCCGTGCACAGGCCCGAGTAATAGTCACACTGCTGTTTGGGACATATTGATTCTGTGTACGCCGCTAGAAACACCTAGTGTAACATGTTCAAGGCAAAAGTGCTTATTGTTGGACCCAGTGAGGTATGGATGGCACTAATTTGCTTTAACGTGGAATTAGTATTATAGCCATAAAAAACTACACATGCAGGCTCCTTGTCATGTGCAGCACTCTCACTGTGTGTGTGTGTAGGTATATGTATGTATATTTGAGGAGGTGGGCAGTTATACTACATAATGCACCTTTGAAAATGTGCTTTATAATTTTACATAATTTTCAATAATATACATATGCAATAATGGGGCATCTGTTTCTGGTGGGCATAATTGCATGCAAAGTAATGCAGATGCCAGTAGCATTCAGGGCCGGTGCAAGGATTTGTGCTGCCGTAGGCAAAGATCCATTTTGCTGCCCCCTCACTCACTCACTGACAGATGTACACTCACTCACTCACTGACTGACACACACCAACAACTCACTAACAGACATATACTCACTGACAGACACACACACACACACACACACTTACTGACAGACATACACTCACTCACTGACAGACACTCACTAACATACATACATACATACATACACACACTCACTGACACACACACGGAAACTCACTAACAGATATACACTCACTGACACACACACACACACACACACACAAATAGACACTCACTGACTGACAGACACACACACTCACTGACTGACAGACACTCACTCACTCACAGACACACACACTGACAGTCAAACACTCACTGACACACAGACTCACAGAATTTAATTTTTTGTGGCCCATCCAGCCTCCCTGGGGTCCAGTGTGGGGCAGCTCCTCACTCCTCCAGTGCGCTGTTTAGTATACCTGGGCAGAATGACGTCATATTCCGGCTTCGGCATCACAGAGGGCGCGCGAGGGAGGAGTGTGAGGCTGCAAGAACAGCTCCCTCGCCGCCTGCCTTCTCCGTCCCCCTCTCCTCAGGTCACCGGCCTTTGTTGGCAGAGCAGGCACCTGCCATCAAGATAACCTAGCACTGCATCGGGGGCCAGAGGGCCACCTCCTGGCCCCCCTGTGACAGGGCTCTTCTTGGCGCCCCCACCTTCAGGCGTCTTGACGATCGGCCTGGCGTTGGGGGCGGCTCAAGAGCCGCTCGCCCAGCGCTGCAGCCCCAGACAGGGGCAGGCAGCTCACCAGGAAACATCCCGGTGGGTGCCCCCAGCAGGCCAGCGCCCTAGGTGAATGCCTAGTTCGCCTAACAGTTGCACCGTCCCTGACTACATTAAAGGGAAACTTTAGGCGCCCAGACCACTTAAGCTCATTGAAATGGTCTGGGTGCAGTGTTCAGGTCCCCCTTAGTCCTGGCATGTAAACATTGCAGTTTTAGAGAAACTGCATTGTTTACATTACAGCACTAAGACAGCTTCTAGTGGCTGTCTACCAAACCGATATAAGAGGCGCTAACGGGATTTTACTGGACTTTAGGCCTCCTAACTGACACTGGACATCCTGATGCTCTGCATGAGGACATCCAGCATCATTGAAATCCCCATAGTAAATCATTGATTCAGTACTTTCCTATGGGGAGGGCCTAATGCACTCGCATGCGAGGGACACCAGCACTGGAGTAGGGTAAGTGATTAAAGGGTTTTTAACCCTTTATTGTCTGGTTGGACCAGAGGGCTATAGTGTTAGGAATATCACTAATGTCATTGATGTGTATTTATTTTTTGAAAGTCTATTGCATATTTCCTTGCATCAAGTGTTCACTAATTGCTTCAGATCAAAGGGAAACACGCATACTTAAGGCATTGGATGCCAGTGAAATACTAACTTGATTTTTTTTGGAGGGTGTGAGGGCTGTGTTTTTAATACCTGTGATTGAATTAAGTTATTACTATTTTTTTTTTGTTTGTTTCTTTACATGCAGTGTGGCAAAACAGTTTTAGCTAATTTCTTGGCAGATGCTACCGAAACTATAGGTGGAGAATACAACCCAACTCAAGGTGTTAGGTAAGTTGCCAGTATTTTAAAGTTTACATCTGTCAGATTTGTAAAAAATTATTTATTCAAGGATTTATTGATATACTAACCATCATTTAAATGTGAATAACAAAACCTTCTATGATCGGTGGTGTGTTTACCTGCAAGATTTCCCATTTTTCCTTTTAATAAGAGAGACGCAACTGGAGCATCTTGTAAACAAATACACCAATTTGTTTTAAGCTACCTCCCTAAGGACTCCCATTTCCCAGGTGTATCATTTTTCTTCAGTTCTAGAGCAGTCAGGCAGGGAGCACTTCACTCACTCACAATTATTCATTAAACACAAGATTTTGTTTGGTTGCACAAAGTCTGATGGAAAAGACCGAATTCCGATCGCAATACCAATTCTCCTATATACTAAAGCTAAATACAGTTGGGCCGCGCAAATGAGCAGCATCTTATTAGAGCGCTCTGATTGGTTGGTTTTAGTCCTCTGTCAGATAAGTCTCAGTTTTCTCGATACTTGATGCGGGAAAAATTCTCTAATAAGAACGTAAAGCATTTGAAAGCCTTTATAAAGACCTCGTAGGGCGAAGATGAATTTATCTGTTTGCATCATGGTTTTGTATTTTTGCATTCAGGTTTTTTTTTTTTTTTTTAAATGTTGCTGCGCGGGATTATATGTTTTTTTTTTTTATTTGGCTTTTTTTTTTTGGGACAACAAATGAAGGAAAAAATACTTCAGAAGATAAGTATAATTTATTTATTAAAGGAGCACTATAGGGTCAGTAAAACAAACTGAACAAACCTCTATCTAGCCCCCTTTGCCTTCCTAAAGATAGTAAAATCTTACTTGTATTCAAGTCTGAAGCTGCTGCCTCTGCCTGTGAACTTCCTCTGACATCATCAGAAGTAGTGGCCTGATCCAATCACAATGCTTCCCCATAGGATTGGCTGAGACTGACAAGGAGGCAGATCAGGGGCACAATTCAAACACAGCCCTGGCCAATCAGCATCTCCTCATAGAGATGAATTGAATCAATGAATCTCTATGAGAAAAGTTCAGTGTCTGCATGCAGTGGGAGGAGATACTGAATGTTTGGATGCATTTTAGGCAGCCATGAACCAGGAAGGATCTCTAACAGCCATCTGAGGAGTGGCCAGTGAAGTTATCACTAGGCTGTAATGTAAACACTGCATTTTCTCTGAAAAGACAGTGTTTACAACAAAAAGCCTGAAGTTAATGATTCTACACACCAGAACAAATTCAATTAGCTATAGTTGTTCTGGTGACGATAGTGTCCCTTTAACACTTGTCTGCTCCCGATGAGCCTTTTATCAGTTCAAATCAATTTAATTTCCTCTGTTTAAGGTTCATGTTGCTATGAATAATATTGATTTAGAAAAATATTGGAAATCTTTCTTATACTTAATGCTGAAAATATCGGATCAAGGACATAATCCTCGATATATCTGGCACTGATTTTTTTGCCCATTAGGAAAATAGTTTTAAAACAGCCAGTGGTCAATATGACCCCCACATTAGAACAAGGGAGGTTTAACACCTCTACAATGCCTCCACTCGCTATGAGTGCTGTTCAGACAATAGTATTTTTATGCACTGTGTTTTGCGGAGGGTGTGGAAGGTACTTCCAAAGCAAATTTATTCGATATTATTTCTCAAGCAGCAGATCTGTTTGCCGGGTTCAGTTTCTAGAATTTCCTCTGGCATTAAATCCGGTCAAAATTCAATAAAAATATCACCCGAAGCCAGTCAATATTTATCAACCGTTTCTGACCTTCAGAATGGAACCGATGCCTTTGTGTATATTTAAAGGCACTTCTGCCAAATGTATCATTAGATGCAGCTCTGTCATCAAGCCTGAAATGCAGGATTACCATGTTCTGAGTGGCTTAAATGAGTGGCTACTTTTTGGGTTTACTGACACTGCCACAGAGCTGTATTTTGAGGCACTATAGACATATAGTGTTTTTTTTTTTGTTTTTGTTTTTTTTTTTTCATCTTTAATTAAATGAACTCTGTAGTGTTAGGAATAAAAAGATGTATTCCAACACTAATGTGTTCCTCAGCACCAACGGTAGATAGGGACTGCATTGAATAGGAAGATTCTGAAGGACACTTAATTGGAGAAGCAGGGTGGGAAATCGAGATCCCAAAGAGGAAATAAGTAACTTTTCTGTAAGCAGAATACTATAATTTAGTGGCTTGTTGTTAATGTGTATGGACCAATGCCAGTTCAAATAATCCCTTAAGTACATGGATAATCCATTTATATATTTATGTAGGAGGATAAAACACTGGCTTCCTGGTTCCATGCTCACTAATGTGGAAAAATGTATATGCTCGATTTACATGAAAACCATATGGCCTAGACATTAATGTGTTCACTTATTATTGGAGAGTGTGTGTGCCCTATTAATTATCAGTTAATACCATGTCAAATCAGATTAAGTGGTTTTCTTGGTTTATATGTGGATATTATGGTATTTGACCTGAGTTTTTGATACAAAACAGCTTGGTATTTTATTTTATTTTTGCTATATATGCCAGTTTATGGGTTTATTCATTTGAATTCAATCTTCTTGAAAGTAGTAGCAATTTATTCCATGTAGTCATACCTTAAAATGGGAAGGGAATTTAACACATTACCTCTGTTTAACTTGGTATGTCCAATGAGAAATCAGACTCCCATTTCTATGTTTGATTCCATAGTATGTTATTGATTGCTGTTTATTATAGGAAAAGCTAGCTATACCGATCAGGGTACCAGCAAGGTCAACCTGCTTTTTTTACCCCTTTTTTTGCAGCCTTATTAGGGGTTTAATTCTCCTCCTTACCATTTGAGGTGGGAATGCACTCAACAATTTTCTGTAGATTTAGGCTGATCTAATGCTACAAGTTGGTGTTTATATGCCTGTATACAGTTAATTTCAGCAAAATGAAGCTCCTCAATTTACTTTCAGGTTTGTGTGTATTTCTGACATATTTTTTCTGTTTAATATTTGATTCATATATTTAGTAAAACTTAACATTTTAACAAAACCTTTTACATGTTTTGATACATTTTATAAAACTGTGTAGTTTAGTCATCTCAAGCTCTTCATAATATAAGATAAACTATAGAATGGCTGATGTGTCTCAAGCGGTTTAAAAATAGAAATATTGTTCTTAATTCTAGAATTCTAGAATTTGACTGTCCAAGTGTAAATGGGAATAAAGGCCCTGGTTGTGAAGTTGAACTATGGGACTGTGGAGGAGATCACAAGTAAGTGAAATGCTGAGTGTAAATATATACCTTGAGTCGTTTTTGTGGGTTTAGCACGATAGACCATGTTAAAACATCTCTGGGGGCCACTCTAAAGGTGTGCCATTGCAGTTACAGTAAGACTTAATGAGCTATGGTGAAAAGGGTTAAATAAATGAAGTAAAAATGGTTAAACTGGGAGGTGATGCATATCAAGGGCAGACAATTATTTAAGAAACCTCTCATTTACAACCCTTTCCGACAGTTCTTATTACTCAAGTTTAGCCATAAAATAGCTCATTCTAAGGTTAGCGATTACAAGCTTTTTTCAAACACCAATATTTAAAGAGTTGGTGGTAGGAGTCTCTATGTGCAGCATTTCAGCGTGAAATGCTGCACATACAAATATATACGCACTTGTGTGCCGGGAGCTAGTTACACCTTTGGCACATGTGATTTACGCTGCTCGTAACTCTGTTCCAAGTGGCCTAATGTCAATTCTGTCCATGTTTTACATCTGTCATCAGCGTGCTGGCGACAGACGTGCTTAACTTCCACTCTGTCTGCAAGAGGACGCTCATTCTCCACTAATATTGGCAATAATAAGGCTGTGAAACATTGTCTTTATTGCTTAACCTTTTTATCTTTTGTTAAATAAAAATACACAAAAATAATCTGCTTTTTTGGATATAAAACAATTGCAAACACCGGTTTATCTAAAAAAAAAAAAAAAATCTGTTAAATATATGTGTGGCACCATTATTTTTAGTTCATACTTTGGTCACTTTTTTAGTTCATACTTTGTGCTACCTCCCGTTCCCCAGAAACTCTTGAGTCTTTTCAGTGCAAAAACAACTTTCTAACAGTAGGTATTGCTGTAAAACCATTTTGCCCATCATAACCCCCATTTAAAATATTGGATTTTCCTCAGATCAAAGTGACAAGAGTGGCTGTAGTTGTACATATAGTTGTTAGTAACCGTGTGTATGTGTATGTATATGTGTGTATATATATATATATATATATATATATATAAAACAATGTTTTTCTTGGCACTCACCCTTTCAAATGTGTAGCTCAATATCGCCTGGGTGCAATCCCATGTAGATAAAATATATAGAGGATAAAGAGATGCACTCTCAGGACTTTGAAAAAATAGTTAATTTATTCCAGCAGGTATAACATCAAAGTTTGCCGACATTTCGACCCATTCGGGTCTTTCTCAAGGTCAATGTACCTGTGCTTACAAGCCATTTATATAGGACATAAAAAGAAGTACTCACCAATCTGTGAAGAACCCCCTGAATCCCTCCGTGCACACCCGGAAGTGAAACCGGAAATAGAACCCACGATCACATGATCCATGCACAAGTGATCATGTGGTGTTGCTAAGATACCGATAGGAAAACAATTAATTATAAGATCGGTAAATATCTCATAGATGTGCAAGTGAAATGTCTAATATCAATCTATTGATGAAATCTGATTAAAGTGCAGAGTGCATAAATCCGCAAAAATGCAGCCTAATATAAAAAAATAAGCAAAGATCATAAGATCAAATATACTGTGTAAAGTGTCACCATATATCTAAAGAAGTGATCAAAATAAAGAATGTTATGTTAAAAACATTTCACCAACCATGTCAAGTTTAGAAGGCATTTAGCTGAAGCAATCTATAACATAAAAAAATAGATTGATATTAGACATTTCACTTGCACATCTATGAGATATTTACCGATCTTATAATTAATTGTTTTCCTATCGGTATCTTAGCAACACCACATGATCACTTATGCATGGATCATGTGATCGTGGGTTCTATTTCCGGTTTCACTTCCGGGTGTGCATGGAGGGATTCAGGGGGTTCTTCACAGATTGGTGAGTACTTCTTTTTATGTCCTATATAAATGGCTTGTAAGCACAGGTACATTGACCTTGAGAAAGACCCGAATGGGTCGAAACGTCTGCAAACTTTGATGTTATACCTGCTGGAATAAATTAACTATTTTTTCAAAGTCCTGAGAGTGCATCTCTTTATCATATATATATATATATATATATATATATATATTTACAGGTATAATGGCACTCACCCTTGCTGATGCCACAGTAGTTAGCTCAATGCCCTGGTGCTATCCCACGCTGAACTTATATACAATATATGCATAGAAAGGATGCACTCTCCGGTCTTCCAAAGTTAGAAAAGTATTTATTCCATCAAACGGTATATAATAAAGTGATCAACGTTTCGACCCTTGAGGAAGACCCGAATGGGTCGAAACGTTGATCACTTTATTATATACCGTTTAATGGAATAAATACTTTTCTAACTTTGGAAGACCGGAGAGTGCATCCTTTCTATGCATATATTGTGTATATTTGAATTTTTGGGGATAACCACCGCCCCCAGTAATTCTACATATTATTTACTAAAGACATAGAGCTGGCAATTGTAATTCATACTTTATAGCTCATGCTATCCCTCTGGCCTTGTGCAGATCTTCGCATCTAAGAACTGTAAATATTATAGCTAGTTTATTAATATATTGCCAATAAATTTGATGGAACTGTCCTGCAAAATGGATCAGATTTATAGAAAACCAGGTATCTTGCATCCAGTAAACAGTGTTTGTTTACACATTTTTTTTTTTACTTTACTTTGAAAAAATGCATTATGTCCTTTTCTAAATTAAGTTATAATGGTGCCACGAGGCCCCTGAGCACACTCTTACCTTAAGAGGTTAAACTGTTCTCAAATGGTTTAACCCAAAAGTTGCATCCGGCACCAATCTCTAGGTTCTGAATCTCAGTTACAGGAAGCGTTGATTGGCTAGAGTGGTCGTCTGACATTTTAACCAACAGTCCCCTTGCTCGGTGGAACTCTGCGTTTCCTGTAACTGAAATTCAAAAGCCAGATGCTGCCTGGGGGACCTAGAGATCAGCACTGAAGGCAACTTTTGGGGTTAAACTGATCAAGAACGGTTTAACCCAGTAAGGTGAGAGTGCATTTGGGGGCGTCCTGGCACCATAACAACCTAATTTAGATGTAGTTGCTATGGTGACTGGAGTGTCCCTTTAAGTCTTCAAAGGAAGCCTATTATAATACATTGTTAAATCTATGATTGTATGCTATGTTTCCCTTACAGAATGTTTATCCTTTAAAGAAGTTCTAGACAATGTACAAATAGCACATGATTCTCTGCTGTTTAAATAGGTTTGAAAGTTGCTGGCCAGCCCTAATGAAGGATTCCCATGGGGTGATTATTGTTTTTAATCCTGACATTCCAAGTCACCTTAAGGAGATTGACATGTGGCACAGCACCTTTATACAGAAGCAACGATTGCAGGAAAATCAGTGCCTCCTAATTGCTCACCACAAGCCTGGATCAGGTGATGATGGGGAACGCCCAGATTTATGTAAGTATATTCCATTCTTCAGCTCATAGATGGAATGTCATAATTAATCTTTAGAGGCATTATTTTTTAATAGTGAGGCCTTAACGAAAGGTGCCACTTTACCGCCTGTGGCACACCTACACTAAATGTCGCAACTCCAAATTCATGTGATGTCAGAGCAAAATGTCACATATTGGTGATTTTTATCTAGTGCCCAAGAGGGTATTACCCTTGCCGTGTGAGAATATGTTACTGAGCTGTTGTAGTTCGACTTGAAGTTAATTTTAATGAATTGGAGAGCCTCCAATTCATGTCTAATTTAGAATAATATCACGGTGGGTTTTAGTAATTGATTCCATATAAATATGCCTACATTTTAATTGCCTACAAACATAGAAATGTTATTATCAGTAAATGATTAATGTTGCATTTCCCTTTTTTGAGATTAGCTTTTGCAGCGATATGAGAACTGTGCCTCCTCACCAGGTAGGTCAATGACTCAGATTTGTTGCTTTGTTGGCATCCAGTGACTAAAACTGAACTTTATAAGGGCGCTATAGGCACCCAGGCCACATACCGTAATCTCAAATAAGTTGTCTGGGTGCCATGCCTCCTCCCCCCATTTTAACCCTGCAGTTGAAAACATTGCCATTCTATTGAACAGCAATGATTTAATTGCAGGGTTTACGTTCCGGCTGTCACTCAGACAAATAGAGCTTTACTCTGCTTTGTCTATCAGATAGTCCCAGAGATTCCATCTGATTGGCACACCGTGGCATTTTGCCGTGCATAAACATTAGCCTCCCAATGCAAGGAAAGCATTGGATTGGCTACGTTTTTAAAGGAGGCATGCCAGAATGACCGAGATCGGCACTGCGAGAGAGAATAGTTAAGTAACATGCACCTTCCTGCAGGTGGGGGCCAGTCACCTAAATGGCCATCATGGTACTATAGCGTTAGGAATAAACAATAGTACACACAATGCTATAGTATTTCTTTAAATATAAAAAAGTTATTTTTTTTTTTTTTTTGCTAGTGGTACTCTTACATGGAATGTAACCCGTTATAGAAGGAAATCCACCACAGTTTCTGTTTGCTTTTTAATCTAACTCTGTTTTAAATTGTTTATTTTATTTGATCCAACACATGCATGGACACAGGCTTTCTAGTAGATTGTTTTACAACCAGCAATCTGTGTGTTTCCAAACAGCCAGAAAACAAGTGAAATTTACCTCACAGCAACTCAGACTGCACAGGGCATATTTATCAGAGTTTTCTGAAAAGGGGAGATCATTCCCATCATTATTTTGATTGTATTTGTAAAGTGGCTTAAACATAAAGTTTTTCTAAATGACACCAGTTGTTGCAGAAAATTCCTTTTCAGAAGTTTGCCAAATTTATAGTAGTGGAAAAAAATCTAAAAAAAATAATTCTAAAAGAATGCATTATGATTTTTTTTTATTAACCCCTTAAGGACCAAACTTCTGTAATAAAATGGAATCATAACATGTCACACATGTCATGTGTCCTTAAGGGGTTAAAGGAGCACCTTAACATTAGGAGTACAAACATACCCTGAAACCTAAAAAATAAATAAAAAGCAGGACAACATTCTAATGCACAAATGAGCATGGGAAAATTTGGTGTCTTCATGCAAAGCGTGAAGATACCGAATGTCGGTCCTGCAAAGATTGCAGGACAGCAATAGGAAGCATCTTTAGTAGCTGATGGAATGACAGCCACTAGAGGTGTTCTTAGAGATGAATGTAAACACTGCCTTTTCTCAGAAAAAACAAAGTTTGCAATTGAGAGATTGCAAGGAGCACCAGAACCAATACACTGAACTGTTCTGGTGTAAAACCCTTCTTAAATAAAATCTATAATCCATTGCACAGTAACCACATGGTGATGAACGTTCTATTAGAAAGGAATATGTAGTGAGTGAAAAGTAAAATTTTGCAACATGAATTTATGGACTCTAGGTGGCAGTGTAACACAGCTTTAAAGTTGATGGACATTTTTTGTTTCGACACTGCAAAAACTTTCATTTTTTCATTTATATATGAAACATAACACAATATAAATAACATCTAAAACAAAGTGTGAGAAATTGACCCATTGTGTTATTTTCCAAGTTCTGCATGGTATTTTAACTGGGAATGTCAAAATACTGTTAGTTTTTACTGCAATAAAACACATATTTGTATTATGTTGTACAATGATCCAGAAAAACATAGTCACATAGAGAGTGTTTTGAATTAATAGTTTAACTCTGTAGTTTAAAACATTCAGACGTGCATAGGCCAGGTAAGGGAAATAATATGTAAAGTACCCACTAACTCCTATTTTTCTGGGGTGACTTTTTGTGGGCAGTGGGTGGGATTCTACTAGGGAAGTGTCTTCAACAGAGTCTTTAAATGTTTAGAGTGCAATGATGAGGGATTAGGGGCTGACAAAATAAAATAACGAAGTAGCAAAGAACACAGGTGACACTCCAAGGTCTATGATGGTGTGTTTATTAGAGGGTAAGTCTCCTCACAGATAAGTGCAATGTTTCGGCTCTATAGAGCCTTAATTATTACCCTCTAATAAACACATCATCATAGACCTTGGAGTGTCGCCTTTGTTCTTTCCTACTTCGTTTGACTTTGACAGATTGCGGTGTCTGCTGCCTTCACAGGGCACCTGCCAGGTCGATGACCAGTGATTGAGCATAACCTGAGTGCGGGTGCTGAATTGTTTCTTGTACAATATAATAACTGACTGAAGCTTCAGGGTGAATTCCAGGAGAGTTAGTTGCTTCCCTTTGGCTGCTCTTTTGTACAGTATATATACTGCAATCTGGACAAAGCAGGTGACAACGTTTTTATACAGGTCTTTGCTTTATCAGCAAAATCTACTCCCTCCATATGCTTGTTGTATTCAACAATACACTTTGACTTCTTGATTTGTGTATTGTTTCTGCAGACTGACATTGTGCACTCATCATGAATTGTGGAAAAAATGTACATGTCCTTTCTATCAGTGTACTTAAGGGCCAGCACCTCATCATGGCGCAAAGCAGTTGTTGTCCTTTTGCGGTTTTGCCAGCGGTCAGCTTCTGGGGGAAACCTTTATGGTTTTTCTGCACTGTGCCACAGGCTATAGTATCAAAGTAAAATGTATTTTAAAATAAATCGCCATAGCCTCCCAACGCTTAAATGTGTTTTTAACACTGTAGTGTCAGGAATACACGTTTGTATTCTTGACACTATATTGCTCCTTTAATTGGAGGACGAGATCACATACAATTTTGCTGATGGTTCCAACAAAATCAGTGCAGCCAGGTGGATCTAGTTGAATGTCTTTTATTGCATAAATGCAAAATTCCCAGTTATTACCCAGTGTTGTATTCTTACAACTTATAAAATAGGGAGCCTGCTTTAATGGAATGTACTGCTTGAAAAACAGTCTTCCTTGTACTTAAAAAGGGACTCGTCAATGCAGATATTTTGGTCAGGGGTGTAATTTTCTGAAAAATGTTTTTAACAAGTTATCAGTTAGGGGCCTAATTTTGTGTAGAAGGTCATACTGTGGTTTATTTCTTGGTGGAAAGTGGGTGTTATTACTGAAATGGAAGAAGCTGTTAATACCTATCCCTCTTCATAATTCACAGAAAAAGATGGATAGCTAGGATGGGGTGCTTGTGCCAGTAATTCCCAATCCATTTTTTTTTCACAATCCGCATTACTAGCATGAGTGCCCAGAATCTACTTAAGTGCTGTCACATATTCTTGCTACTGTAGTGAGAATCAGGATTGGCAGTGAGATATGCTGGCTGGAATTCAAATTAGTTTGCGCAGCCATGAGCTCAAACATGCCATCCATCATAAACAGGCTAAAAATGTTTTCTTTCTCACAATGATCAATTCTAGTTTTGATTCTAGTGGTTGGCAAAAGGGGGCATTTCAGGGGCACGGGGGTCACCATCACCAGAAGGCTCGCCTAGGGGCTTTACATACAACGCAGTAAGTGTCTCCCTGTCAGATAGCTCAAAGGAGTCACTCTCTTCTGACTCACGCATCAACATGGCGTTAGCCTCCTCCGCAGTGTAGTAATAGAACATGATGACTTTTTAATGGATGACATCATTTTTTTCTCTACCCGACTAACAATCCCCTCTAATGCCACTTTCAGCTGCAGAACCCAAAACCCAAAAAGGAAAATTGACGACTGATCACAGAATAAAATTCTAAGATTAGCTCTAAAACTGTTATATATTTTTTGGTTTTTTTAATTAAAGTGGGGTACAAAAAAACAACAAATGCCAGCATAGGTAAGATAAAATGCTCTGATTCACTATACCGTCATTAGGGCATTGGAAAGGGTTAAAAAAACCCACTAAAAATAGTTAAAATAATACAAATCTGCCCCCCGCCCCCACCAATAAAAAAAAATCTAAGCAATACTAGTGTACTGATCACTCTGATCACATTATTAACACTGTGATCAGCAGTGAAAGGATTAAATAGAATAATGTTTATTTATATTTGTTTAGATACAGTAAAACAATGATCACGGTGACAAATAAAAGTATGTAATTTAAAAAGCATTACTTAACGCAATTGTTTAAACTTATTCTGATGTTAAGCTAGACCACAAATGTGAAATAAAAATTACAGGTCATCATTTTGTGTGTGTGATCTTTAACAACAGTATAATAATACCGCGTTGTACTTGTTTTTCACAGCCTCTGCACTTTCCAGATTGACACTTGTACATTCCAACCTTGAAGAAGACCCTGAAGATTTAAGAATGGAATTTATAAAATTTGTAAGAGGTGTTGTAAGTTCATTATCGGAAAGCAGAGACATAGAAGAGATGTCCATTATTACCTAATCCTGCAGTGACTGCCGCTAAATTATGCCGGGTGTCAACATCAGGCTGGTTTCAGATGGAGCATAACCAATTACTGGAAAAGAAACTGATAACAGCAGTTTTGTAATGATGGAAAAAAGTCCAACATACAATTTCTCAAAATTACATGTCAGATGTTTATGTAAATATGTTATTTTTCAATCATGTGTTTTTTTTTCTTCTTACAGGACATGTTTGGTTTTCAGATTAAGAGATGTGTGTTGTAATAAAAAATTAGCACTGTATAACATGCAAAGTTCTTACAAAAATAATAAATTATTAAGCACAGTGCTCTCTATTTTTTCCTATGTTAGGTTAGATGGAGGGAAAACACATTAACACGATATTGGAAGTTTCCTTTTCTTGCAGGGGCAAATAGTCAGAGTTAAATGGTAGAAAAATCTGATATATTGGTTGTCTCAGAATGACTTTAGTAGATGGATTTGAGGAGCAGAGAGATGCATATTTGTAATAGAGAACACACCTTTGGTGATAACAAAAGACAATGTCAGGAGATCTTACAGTACAGGCAGCCATCAGAGATTCAAATTCATGATACAAATGTCAAAGAACAGGAGATCAGATGGAATAGGGATAGTGAAAGGAGATAGAATTGTAATAATTTGGCACTGACTAGTTTGCATCATGGAGTCGCATTAAATCCAACATGCTGTCGAGGTCTAGTGGTGTCATACATAACACATGGCACGATTAGGTCTGCATCAGGGTCCGATTGCTTTTTTTTTTTTGGATCATGTTTGAAAGGGCATAGAAAACCTAAGCTACATATAATGCACAAAACTGCCATCTTTGATAAATGGCACATTTATATACCATTTGTATGAGCTTGTCTGGAGGTGTCCAATGCAGTGACGGTTACCTGGATTCGAGATTTGACGTTCTGCTTAGTGGTTCTCAAATATAATGCTTTATAGGAAGGCTCCATACCCAACAACCAGAACATTTTCTACAGTAACTGGCAAGTTTAGATAACAATAAAACTATATTCCTGGAGAAAATGTGTAAGTCAGATGTTAATGTTTATATGAAAAATGTCAGAATGCAGATATCAAAGTGTATCAATATATATTTGATGTTGTAGAACAGTGGCATAATCACTAACCAAATTAGTACCACCAAGTAAATATTTGCATGCTCACAATAAAAAACTAGAGAAATGGGAAGATAATAACAAACCATTTAACCAGAAAGGGTTGCATATAGCTTTGACTGGTTTTTCTGTTCTTGGATCTGGATATCATATATATTTGGATAGATATAAATACTTTTAATACAGTGTTCTAGAAGATACGTCTGATGATATGTCACCTATGAACGTGCTGTATTGTAAGATGTTTGGTTAGTGGAGCCTAGACACCAGAGATGCACACTTGTGCAAACACTGTACTAAAACACGGAGATGTTCGCCTCCATAGAAAATGAGTAGAAACACATTACCAAAGAATAACAGAGAATAGTCAACATTTCTAGAGGATCATATCAACAAAGACTTGTAATCAAGAGAAATATTCCTAATGTCAGAGCAGGTAGCATCGATTCAGAGTTGATAAATGTAGTCAGAAAACTGGATTTTTAACTCGTCATAGAGTATCCATAAACATGAAATGTTATAAATGGCAGAGGAATCAGGCCAACACAGAAACAGCATGAAGAGACTGTATAAATCACAGTAGCTGCTGGGTGCTGTGAAAAGTGAGAATTGAAGAACGATACATAGAAAGTGCAGAAATGGAGATAAGTTATTTTATTGAGCGTTCGTGGCAGTTTGAAGACTCGGTTCTCTAGTAAGACATGCAGATTTCACTGTACCGCATAATTTATTTGTAAGTACCCACATTAAGCTAAAAGAAGACATGCGTTGTGCTATTATGTTTCAAGAGGGCAGCAATGTTAAGGGAAATCATTTGTCCAGTAAATGTTATTAGTTTTATTCAGTATTGGTTTTTATCAGGATTCTAACCAACCTGGCCAAAATGTACAAGGCCGCGATTTAATTTCCATTTAGAAAACCCAGCAGATAAAAATAATGCTGGCACCTAATGGTCATTTGTTGTTTATTTGCACTTAGTTCAATATGCAAGCAGATGTTCAGGGATACAGAAGCAGATGTCAGGATATAGGAAACAGAGTTGTTATGCAGATAGTGATTTCTGGATTGATTGCAGAGTCACCAGAGCATGTAAGCAGACAAATATGTGACATGCGGGTATATAGACTGCCTATAACAGGCAAGAAATGCCTAGAGCAGGTTGTTACCAGGTCTGTCCATCATGGATGCAGTTAGAACCTGCTAACTAATAGATAATCTGTTTCATTGAGGAAGTAGCCACATGACTTCCAATGATGGGGTATTTGAAATGAGTCTACACTTGAAGAAACTGGTTTTAGTTTCATCGAGGTGTCTGACAAGCTTAATAAATCACTTGTAAAATTCTTCAATGCTACCGGTTACATATTTTGAACTTACAATTAACTTTCTGAATTTTTGTCAAGATTCCTGAGTATTCCTTCCTATTTGCGTAACAAGCTATGCTGTTGATGCAGCTTTAAATATTCCAGTTTATGATACATAACAGTACAATGTAAAAAAAAAAAAAATGCAACTTGCACACTATCCCAATGCACATTTAAATAACAAGGTTTTTTTTTTTTAAAGTATCTCTCCAATGGCCATTTAATTGTAAGCTCACTTGCCACGTCACGGCTAAACCTCTTAGGTGAGCCCTACGTTAACAATTCAACTTGCTGCTTTCAGCTAAAAGGTAAAATCTCTAATGAGACAGAAAGGGGTATTTACCTAAACCCCCTACATACTTATGAACCCTTAATAGGGGACACATGGGGTGGGCGGCAGCATTGTAATATGGCTGTGTGATATAAAAGCAAGTACAAATATACAAAGTCAAGCCCTGTGCTCAAACTCCCACTACTCCTGAGCAGCAGTAATGACTTAGGAACACATCAGCATTACAAAAACAAAGAAAGAAGTTACTTGCACACTATCCCAGATCCCCATACGCATGTAAATAACTTTAGCTATTCAAGCCAATAAGGTGTAAGCTCCCCTGCCACATCAGGCAACACCGCTTAGGTGAGTCCTACACTAACAATTCATCTTGCTTCTTTCAGCTAAAAGGTAAAATCTCTAATGAGACAGAGATGGGTATTTTTTCTAAAACTCTACCCACTTATTAACCCTTAACAGGGAACATTTAATGTTGTATGTTTGTTATTTTGTATATTTGTACTTGCTTTTGTATTACACAACCATGTTACGGGGCTGCAGTCCACCCCATGTGTTCCCTAGTAAGGGTTAATAAGGGTGTAGTGGTTTAGGAAAAAATCATTTCTGTAATTATTATCATTATTATTATTGCATGTGAAGGACATAAGTCACAATTTTCTTCTCTAATCTTCACATGTGTATTGGGTGTATTTTCCTTCCTTATCTGTTTTCATATTACTTAATGTTCTAGTAAGCTACTGGATTTCCCAGTAGTAGTTAAAAAGTTCCCCAATTTACTTTTTGGAATGAGTTATTGCAGTAAGATATTATTATGACACTGCATTTGTTATTATGACAGTGAATCCATACCACTATTAACCCCTTAAGGACACATGACATGTGTGACATGTCATGATTCCATTTTATTCCAGAAGTTTGGTCCTTAAGGGGTTAAACAAATGTTCAACCTGGCAGACTGCTAGAGTCCAAATAGGTAGAGATACATACAAAATTCTGTTAGTTTACAAAAGTTTTACATAGGGCGATGTGTCAGTAAATCTCAGGTGCACGTTAAATGACCAGGTGCAAATATGCAGACGTCTGGTAAGATCAGAGGACAGATTTTCCAATAAGCTTCTGTGTATCCATGTCTAATAATTCATCACATTTTTCATTTGCTGGATGGTATGCAAAATATTCCCATTTTAGATGTGATGGAAAAGTCTGAACAGGGACATTTTAATACAGTATGCTGTTTGGAACACATTTCAAAGCTTTGAGATAAAAAATATTTAATTATGCAAACAAGATAATGCCTTTTAAAGCTGAAAGTCCCAGAATAAATCTCTCATAAGAAAGGTAAAGAAAACGTATCTGTACAGATCTCAGTGATATAAATTACCAAAGTTACCTGTTTCAATGGGATGCTTCCTCAAAATTTGCTAATTTTGTTGTACTTTTTTTACTGGAGTTGATGTCCATATTTTTTGTTTGTTTGTCGTTTTTTGTTTTTTTATGCTTTTTATTCAATAGAAGTATAGCTAAAAATGTTTTTATAAAATGTCATGAAATCAATTTCAAATATCGAAATATAAATAAAATTTAAGGAGGAAAACAATCACCAACTCATAGTGTGTGTGTGTGCTCGGGAGGACTTTGTTGCCCTTTGTATTATCCCACATCCCATAACATGGGCGTTTAGGGGACTATCACTTATTTCTGATGGAGGGCTTCTTGTTTGTTTTTTTGACAGTGCTCGTTGGCTGCTGTATGCTTCTAGAATGAGGATTTTCTTATGAGTGTCATAGAGCAGTATTCAACACATTTTCAGTTTAAGTTGTGTTTATTTAAGAATTGATATATATTAGACACTTTATTAAGTGCAAGGAGTTTTTGACAATTGTTGTGCGCCAAAAAAGAAAAATTAACAGGTTTCCAAGAAATCAAATGCTGGATGGCCTTATCCCATTTTTATGCCTTTCCCTGATTATGTGTGCATTACAACACCTACAAAGGATATTCACTTTTACCAGTGATGATGGGTAACCTTGAAAGTGAAAGTGAAATTTATCGACTACTTCTGTACAACTAATATTCATGATGACCCCAGACGCACGGCAGATGGTATCATGCCGACTTTAATACAATCCTCAAATTATAAAATACTATGTTTCACCTCACTATGAGACTTTTGACAAAGATAATATTTAAATAATATTATATATTCTCACTTAATCTGTGACTAAAATTGATGGCAGTCCTCTAACCATGAATCATCTCTTTTCCATCAATCATACCTTTTTTGCGCAAAATGAAACTCCGGATCATAACTCGAATTAAACTGTTCATCGATTGTCCATGTCATTTGTTTTGTGATACGTCCATATGGTGCTTCAGAGTTTTAAAATTCTGATGAACCGACAATCACCCAAAATTCATACAAATTGCACTTTGAAACCAAATGAAAAATATTATCAAGCACTGTGGGAAACAGTTTTCAAACACTTGCAGTGCAAAGAATAGCCATTGCTGGCCAGTTTTACTGAAGGAGGATTACCACAACCAATTTGTAGCCACATAGCCTTTTTCAACAGTATGTATAGTTTTATCATTCGGCAAAATATCACAATATTTGTTGTGTTATTTATATTTTCAATAATTTTATTTTGAAAAATACATATGTGTGATATAATAAAATGTTAAATCATTGTCAATGCGTCATCTTTAAAAATATCAGATATATTTATTTGCAAATATAACCAACAAATGAAGGTACATCATCTTAAATTACTTTTTTTTGTATGTATCTTCCATTTACAAAGAGGTTCATTAGGTGTTTGCCGCTTGAATGTATGTGAATTTGAATGGTTTAAATTCATAAGTTACTATGGTTGTATTGCTATTAAAACATTATTGTAAGTGATACAATTGTAGCACGCTTCATTCCCTTTTGTTCGGTTGTCCGTACCCCTTTGTTCTTCTCCCGAATGGATGGTGTGTGGTCCCCCTTTTATACCTCCCCGAACACCGACCTCCCCTGGCTGTTAACCACAAACTAAGTGATTAACTCAAGTGGATGGTCATTCGTGTAACTGAAAGCACATGTTCCGTTGTATAGTTGCCATTTTGTCTCCCGAACACAGGCAGTGGTACATGGTCGTCGAACGCCTAGAACTATTTTCGGCCATGCGAGTACACAAACGCGGGCGGAGTTCGTACCGCTGCCCGTCCTTCTTCCCGACCAACTAGACGAATGACGTTCGGGAGATATGAACTACCGACTGGGGGAGCATTCGCTCCCTAAAAGCCAGAGGGAGTGTTCATTGGTGTTCGCACAGGAACCCCTGACAGCAGACCGGCTGCCACACTAATTTCTCTGGAATTGTTTTGGGCCATTGCCTTGTGGCTGGTTGGTCAGAGCTTTACCTGAATGGTGATTCCGTTCTACCACGGATCTGAGCGCTATTTGGACAACTTGGGCGCTCAGATCCGAGCTATTCAAGGATATAAGACTTGTGGGGTTTCTGTAAAATCTGACTGTTTTTGGGGTGTTTTATGTATGTTCATGTATTTTCCTGTAACTGAGAAATAATTGAGTTACTCAGTTTTTGACTCAATTATCTCTCAGACAATGGGATGCCTGGGAGGGGCTTGTGTACTTTTAAATGGATACCTCATGCTGGGGGTCTGTGCATAAAAGACTGTGTTGGTGCTAAATAAATCAGTTGTACTCCCAGAACTATCAGTTTTACTATTCACATTTCAGCACCTTGTTCCTGAGTTCCTCTCTTCACAGATCCAGCGGAGGAAAAGTCCTTATCAGGACTAGCGCTATGCTACAATATCAAAATGTAGCATGCAAAAGTTAAATATTGACTGTTGTGATTAGTTCAATGTACAGCTGTTAATGGATCATAACTACCTCTTTTAGTTCTTCTTTTGCTCAATATTTCTTTTACTTAACACACAGTGTCTATAAGTTTTAGACATAGACCTCATGAGAAGATGACACAAGATTCTGTTAGTTATATAATTACAAAAGGGAAGAAAACAAGAAATTCTAAAGAAAATGAATGAAACATGGCTAAGATGAATTAATAAAGAATGTCATGGGATTACTACCCCTTACCTACCTGGTCAGGCTCCATGGCTTTGATCACTGCAAAGTCACAAAACTGTCTTTTAAAGCTCTCATGTCACAGGACAGTCATGCACTTAAAAGCACATGCATCACTTTGAGACAACTGTCTCATATAGAAGCTTTAGTTTTAAATAAGACAGTTGTCTTACTAGGCAGGCTGAAAAAAATAAGTAAATATGTTTTTTTTCATATTTACTTGCTTTTTATTTCTTATGCTTTCCACATCCAGTTTGGGTGCGGGTACCTTGTTGCTGCTAAACAATGATGTCCTGTTTTTGTCATTAGTCGACCGGTCTGGACTGGACTAGTGTGTGGTAAGAAGGTGGGGGAAGGCGGAACAAAATCTCCTGCCTGAGAGGCGTTCCCAACAATGCAATCTGACCAGATTTACAGTAGTTTTATGGATGTTTATTACATAATTTTCAAAGTTTTTTTGCTTGTTTGCTGGTTTAAGAGATGGAAGTGAGGACATATGTAACTATATGAAATTCTTTGTGTTTTGACATAAGAAGGAGATTAAAATGGACTTTATTTTTGTCTCACAGCATGCTTCGTGCATTATTATACACACATGTGCAAATAGCATAAAGTCCACCACAGAACTGTAAAATAAGAAGACCTTGCTATCCACTCATTGATTAGTTGTTAAAGAACTATTCCTGCAACTGTTATCCTAATGCCAGTACATTGTACCACATTATTCCCTTCTCCCAACTCCGTCTCCCATGATTCTAAGCTGCCAATTACCAGATCCTTGGCTTGTATTATAATTCTAGATTTTGTTCTGCAGGTCCTGATCCGTGATTGGATACTCCTTATTTGTACCTCACCTCTGCTGCCTTCTCATACATATCCCAGTTCTATTTCTTCTTCTTACCTGACTATTGCATGGAGTGGGAACAGAGAAGAGTGGAAATAGAAGTAAAATATAATATAATTAGAACTAGTTTGATTGTGTGAAGCTCAAATTATAAGAATTATAAATTAACATTATACTTTCCTATCATTGTAACTGATCTAGTATTCATACATGTATGCATGAATGTTACATCAGTTATCTTGGGCCATACAGGCTTCCATGCAGTGTGGTAGAGAGAGGATGACACAGACTTTAAAGTCCCTCTGTGTGACAAATGAGTTTATCTGCTACGTAATGGCCAGCACTAGAATATGGGGCAAGGTAAGTTTGTGTTGTTACTTAAAAATGTCAAGACTAAGCTATATAAAACAAAACCAGCCCTGCGGGTAAGGGGTTCAATCAACAATTTTATAGCACACACCATTGTTTATTATTTTTTCATAAGGAAAATAAAATACTGATGTGATCTGAATCAGCCATTAATTGATTTGCAAAAACATTTAAATCACAACACTGTAAGCAATTCAACAAGCAATTTAAATCTATGAAATTATTATTTCCATGCACCTTTTTTAGTGTTTTATTTTTTTATTTATTAAATTTGAAATTTACAGTAAAATGTATTGCGATTCATAAATTGTTAAATAAAAGACACTTCGTAAGAATGTTTATTGCGAGCCATATGAAACTTTCAAAACCATTCGCAATATTTTAACCCTTATAATAATATACAACAAGATGGGTTCTGACAAAATTCAGATACAATGTGGGATAGAAAAGTATGAAATAATAAAAATATTGTCCTACCCTACAAACAAATTACAAGATTGTCAGCGGAGAATATGGACCAGCCATCACACTACATACAATCTGCAATCTGTTTTTATGTAAACGTAAAATGTAAAACATTATTCCATAGTGTCTAATCTACATATTAAATCAAAGTCCATGCTCACATTTTGTAAAATGTAATTGTTTACACAAATAGTATACAATAATTTTCATATAAGTGAGAGATACAAAATATAATAAAATTCACCAAAGGTCCAAATTCTAAAGTGCATTTGTCATATACATTGTCTACAATTTTATATATACATTTGTATTTATTTTATAGTGTTTTGCATGCGTGTATGTGTGTTGTGGGGCCACTGAGGGCAGATTTCTAAAGTGTTGTATTGAAAAATATTTAAATAACTCTTTGCTATTTAATATATATTAACAATATATATTTATATAATGTGCATAGTAAATATACATACACCATTATGACACTTTAATGTTCTCATTGGTCATAAATCTCTGCGTCTTGGTATTGATCAATTTAGATGCAAACCAGTGCATGTGAATTACATAGAAGACTGTTGTAAATAGCAATGTGGGCCGATGACTGACCAAGCTGTTTGCTCATGTTGAATGGCATTATTGGATTGTTGTGGAAAGAGTCTTTCGAAGATGCTGGCAGGTTTTCAAATTTGCCTTAAGATGGGTGTTGTACATCATCATATGTGAATATTTTCTTAAATACACAAAGAGTTCTGGGGAAAAATGTAGACAATTTAAAGTGCCAGGTATGGTTGTTCCAATGACTTGTAGCTATTGCAGTGCTGATCGTCCAGAAGAAACAGCAGGATTGGTTGTGTTGAGTTTTACATCCAAAAACATTGTAGGGAAAAAAAAACATCCACAGGGCTCCACTTGTGCTGTCTGTATTTTGGAATGGAAGCATTGCTAAATCCCGAATAAGCAGTGCAATGAATTGTCTTTAGCAATATAAACTAATCTAGTAAAACAGATACTTTAATTTGGTATTCAGTAACACGTTCATAAATCTCAAACAGGTTATTGTGCCAAAAACAGCACAGATATATAGAAAGGCAAGGAAAAGTTTTTTGTTTTTTTTCCATTACATGCTGTGAACAACAGAACTAGGACAGCTCTTTTATTAGTTTTGTATATTGGTTTTTTTTTTTTATAAGTGAGGTTTGGGCTGGTCTTGAAAATGTGAATTATCTCATTGAGAACAAAATTTCACATGCCTGCAAGTTGTCTGTAAAATATGTGTACATGTATGTAGTGACTCAGATAACAGGTCTAGGTTTTCAGAATGTGCACTTCTTACATTATTTCCACTTCATTTATCGGATTGTGTCAGTCTAGTAGATAACTTCTAGAAGATGTAACTGGTTTGAAAGGAATACACATCTGATAGAGCAAACCCTCTATCGTCGCTGTATTTTAAAAGGTCAAAGGTTGGAATCCATTTTTTGGCTGTGAAGGTTTATAGGTTGCACCAAATATGTCTTCATGGTACCGCATTTCACTCTGCAACACAAAACAAAATGATCACAGAATTCCTTCTGAAAAATTGTCTTGCCATTTACTTTAATGTAAAGCGTCATATTCATTTCCATTTCAACTTTCTTGTAATTTCCTGCTGTGTCATTATCATATAAAGAAGAACTGGCACTGTGCATTCCACCTAATAACACCCTCTAAAGCAGTATGGCTAGATACTCTTACTGAGCTTATCATTGAAGGGAAACAATCTGTATTCCTAGCAGTATACTTCTCTCTGCTCCTCCCTAATGCCACCATTAGTGTAAGGCTTAATTAACCATTACAGCACTCACCCAACTCCAGTGCAGATGTCCCTCGACTCTGGGTTGGCGCTTCTCCACCTTCAACATCACCTGACGGGGGGGCACACTAATCCTCATGTGCGGCGAGACCGGCAAGTCCATTAGTCCCTCCCCATAAGAAATCATTGGCCTGGGTGCTGATAGTGTCCCTTTAAAACTGCCTTTTAAAGCTCTCATGTCACAGGACAGTCATGCACTTAAAAGCACATGCATCACTTTGAGACAACTGTCTCATATAGAAGCTTTAGTTTTAAATAAGACAGTTGTCTTACAATGCAGGCTGAAAAAATAAGTAAATATGGTTTTTTTCATATTTACTTGCTTTTTATTTCTAATGCTTTCCACATCCAGTTCGGGTGCGGGTACCTTGTTGCTGCTAAACAATGATGTCCTGTTTTTGTCATTAGTCGACCGGTCTGGACTGGATTAGTGTGTGGTAAGAAGGTGGGGGAAGGCTGAACAAAATCTCCTGCCTGAGAGGCGTTCCCAACAATGCAATCTGACCAAGTTTACAGTAGGTTTATGGATGTTTATTACATCATTTTCAAAGTTTTTTTTGCTTGTTTGCTGGTTTAAGAGATGGAAGTGAGGACATATGTAACTATATGAAATTCTTTGTGTTTTGACATAAGAAGGAGATGGAGTAAAAATAACAATACTAAAGATTTGTTATGACAGTCATAATCCATGACAATTACTTTATAATATTTAAAATAATAATCAGAGCTTTCCAAAACATAAGGTTTGTTCAGAGTAGACAAAACACAAATTATACTTATATACCTTTAGCTGGGAGAAAAAAAGATCTATTTCCTCTTCATTTAATCCCTTCTTGTTAGCGATCATGGTCTTAAGTGTTGCAGTCACATCTCTGGCCATCTGAATATTCCCACAAACATACAGGTGCCCCTGTTCTTCAAGAACAATTTTACAAATTTCCTGCTCAAGATTTTGTTTCAGAATGTCCTGGACGTATGTCTGTGGACAGGAAGGCGGTAAAAGCTGTTAGAGGTTGTAATAAGCCAACATTTTACTCAGTCATCTGAAAATATTAAAAGGCTAGCATATCTATAGGTCATGGGATAGCTTATTCTTGCATTGTGCAACAAGTAGTGGTTGAAGACTAACTTTATTGATGAAATTAGTAATTTATGAAATGTTTTACCAGGAAAAATACGTAAGACATTTCCCTAATTTTCAAAGATTTTCTGTGATACTTAAAAGATACAATCTTGTTGCACATTCTATTTGGTTTTGTCTTAAGAAAGTTGATTTTGTTTCTCAAATATTGCATTCTTGTGGAAGATTTGATGTTTTCTGTTAGTTCACAGTTACAGGGTATGAAAAGGCTGATTGGTCTGCTTCCTTATTGCAATAGTAAATGGAGTGTAAGCTCCTGTATGTGGCTATAGAAGCTATAGCAAGATATGAGAAGGGGTGTCTTGAGTCCAATGTTAGGTATTTTAATTCATTTATTGTATCACAGTGATAGTTATGTAACCAATAGAGTTAAACTGAACTAATGTTGCTATGCCTCGTCTGGTCCATTTAAGGATCATTTGTGAAGATTAGAAAAAAAAAATAGAAATGTCTGATTAATCAAAGTAACATTCAGTACTTCAAGCAATAAATAATAATAAAGACTTGTTTTAAAGGGACACTATGAGCACCTAAAACAACTTTAGCTTGATGGAGTGGTTTTGGTGAATAGACAATGCCCTGCAGTCTAACTACTCGGTACCCTGCCATTCATGAGTTAAATCACAGTGTTTATGCAGCCCTAGCCACACCTCCCTGCATGTGACTCACACAGCCTCCCTAAACATTTCCTGTAAAGTGACAGCTTATGTTTAAACATCCTTTATTGCACAATCTCTTTAATTTAGAATGTATCTCTAACTTTGTTACTAGCCTTCTAGACCCTGCAGAAACATCATGACTGTAATTAAAGTTGAATTAACAGAGCAGGAGATAAAAACTTCTAAAGTGAAAACACTGTACTGACCGAAAATGAAACCAGTTTTTTCATGTTGGCCGTGTCAGTCACAGCCAGCAGAGGTGAGGCTAAGGCTGCATGGACAGGATAAAAAGTGATTTAACTAATGGCAGATAATTGATCAGTGAGACAGCAGAGGCTTGGTCTAAACACTCAAACTGCTTCATTATGTTTTTTTTGTACTTAGAGTATCCCTTTAATATAAAGTACCATATTAACCAAGTCTCCACTCACCTTGGCCAAGCCTGGCTCTCTGGAATAGGCAGTGTACACCTCCTTCAGTATTCCTTTGCTCTTCAAATATAATGTCTCTTCTTTGTAGACCTCATCCAAACCCAATTGCCGGCATCCGGACACTAATATCATAGAACCTGCCTTTTTTCCTGCAATTAATACACTGTTTGTTACTTTATTTATTTAGCTAAAGGAAATAGGTTATAGTGTGTATTTATTTATTGTTATGTCCTTCTATGGTCCGTGTGCTCTACTGAAGCCACTTTCCAGTTGATGCTGGACTACAATCCCTAGTGTTATCTTTAAATTAGAAAAACACATTTGCAGTCTACAGCATTCTGCAAAGCCCAATAGCAGTTACCACTTGTGCTCAACAGCTATTCATGTATCGACTTCTAGTGGACTATGTTGATGCTAGGTTCCTTGGTAAGTGGGTGGTTCTGCTGCAATGAAAGATGTTGGAGTCCTGAAATAAAAGCAATGTCTGAGGATAGCATACCTCCCAAATGTGCCTATTTAAAATGGACAGTCCTTATTTTGGGCCCAAATCCCTGTGTTCTTTTATATCCTAAATGTTTTTAGAAATCAATTTGCGTAAATAAGTTACATTGTTCTTGTTCTAAATTACACTTTAGTAGCATCAATTATTTTTTTTAAGTTACCTAAATTTTCTCATAACAGCCCCACTTGTGGCCAAACCCACTCAGACCCCTAAAATATCCCTCTTTGTCCTTTTGAAATTGTGGGAGGTATGGGATAGTGTGAGTAATGGGGAGTGGGGGGTTTCAAATTGCAAGAAATGATGCTACAATGCAAGGAGCAAGCAAAATGATACTGGAAAGGAGGGGCATTCAAATATAGGATATGGAAGAAGTAAACGAAGTGTGGGATAAAGGCAAGTGAAAGTGGAAACAAGTAGGAGTGTTTCAAAGGCAGCAGTTAGTGCTGAGAATAATGCAAAGTATGTAAAAGGTAATGAGATAGGAAGAGGATGGGGAGTGTTGTTATAAAGTGACAAAGGGAAATGTAGAAGATTAAACAATAACAATATATGACTGTAGTAGTCCCCTCTGACCCTATAAGAAAGGTTTCTTTTTTCAACTTGATTCTACAATTGTTAATGAATTGTCTAGTTCAGTGGTACACAAGCCAGTCCTGAAAGCACACCAGTTGTCCAGGTTTTTCACTATAGCTAGAAAATCAGAATTAGCCTAAATCCCGGACTTTTGGTTTGAGAACCACTGATCTCCATAGAGCCACAATAAACCCTCAAGTGACCCTTTCAGTGTTATTTTGTTATACCTTTCTTTTCTATGTCATAGGTTCGCTGTTGCCAAAACCCTCGATATGGAGCAATTCCTGTCCCCGTACCAATTAGTACACATGGAGATGATGAGTTCTCAGGCAGGTGGAATGCATTTGAACTAGGAGAAGGAAAAAAACATGGCATGAATGAATGCTCATCTTCTGCTTTCAACAAGTCCTTTTTGCTTTAAAGGCTTTGGGCTGTTATGTTTGTGGCATTAATATTAAATAAAAATTCCCATTAAAAAAACAAAATGAAAATCACAATTAAAACATTGTGTACAAAAACTACTGTGTGTTCACACTAATTAACCATTTGTGCTTGTATTGTAGACCGTAAGGTTCTATTTTATTCATATATGTAAATCAAGGAGACCCTTAAAACACAGAAAAAACATGTGTAATAATCAGATAATAATAGGGAAGGTGGGGGCACACATGATTGGGTAAACATATGGTAAAGGTGGAAGGGAGTAGACAGAAAAAAACCCAGAGCTACCATTAGGATCCCCTTGTTTCAAGGGTCTCCTCGATTTTCATATATGTTTTTTTGGGTTACCCCCTACTTTGTAGCGCTGAGGTAGGCATCACTCAGGACAGATGTGTAACTATCCTCCTTTTTCTTCTATTTTTTTCATACAAGTTTAATCTCCCATGAAATGTATCACTATAAATCAACAGTGCAAAAGGCAGACTCCTAAATTTTGTAGAGCTGTGACTTTCATGATGCTTTGCCAGCCTTTAGAATAACAGAGCATCATGACTTTTGTGGTTTTAAATCTAGAGATACACCATGCCCACCACTGCCAAATGGGACTCACAAACCTCAACTATTTATTTGCCACCAACTTGAATGCTACATTAGCAGACTTACATAGGAACATTTTACAGCTAATTAAATCTTACATTAGTGTGGTGTAGAGAAAAATAACCTCTGTTGAGTTCTTATTTATGCAGAAAGTGACAACGTGTTTACCAGCCTTGCCCTAAGGTGTAATATATGTTTTTGGACATTCCAGCGCTGTATATTTACCTACGTACAAAGCACGGCACTATATCATTGATGTTTATGGTATTCAGCCATGTGCTACACACTCCCTCATGCAATGGACCTGAGCCATCTAGGAAAAGAGGTTTAAACAATGTAAAAGGATAGAAAAAGATCTGTAAGGCACAATAGTTAATACAAACAGTAAGTATATTTCAACTTAAGCCACAACCTATCAGGGATGGTAGATCCTATATTTAACATATAGGTAAAGAGACAGAGTCACGCTATAAATACACATAAATAGAGGTTTTCAAAGTCCGTTTTGCTACAGGTTGCTATTTTTTCCACGGTGAATAAAGTTCAACATAATGGGAGCCATAGCGCAAAGCAGGTTGCTAATCTTGAAACAGTGGATTAATTAATCAATGGATCAAATAATTATCAAATAGTATAGCTTTAGTAGTATATTTTTCCCAAGTTAATATTGTCCTAAATAGGTTACTAGATCTATAACTGAATTAAGGGAATCTTAATTAATTAACAACCCAACAAACAAAATAAAAATGCATTAGGGTGATGGTTTAACAAGCACTACTTTAATATATTTTTCTGGTGTGCATCCTTATTTCCGAATGCAAGCTCTCCATACCATTGCTGTTTGGAAGAGCTGTTTGTGAGTATTGCATTGATCTCGAAGAATGCCAAAGAATGCCAAAGAATGCCAAAAGACCTCATTGAGTTTAAAGGGGCAGGCCCATCTGTAGAATTGACAGGTCACCATAGCGTGAATGCTGCCATGCTGACTGACAATCAACTAGGCTGAGCCTCCAAGGGTGGACCATGCAAGGAGAACTATTTCAGGGGGTCCTAATGCCCCAACCATAACTATGTTTGTTAGAGACAGTTCTCCGGTGCCCCCAAAAGTGGGACACCAGGAAACAAAGTCAGGACAGTGGTAAAAAACCTGAAAATTGGTACTGGGACTTAGAAATAGTATTAACAGCTATGTGAGAACTTTACCAATAACTAATTAGTACTGATTAAAAATAGCTAATTTCACAAAGCAATATACAAATAAATGAAATGTACCTTGCGTCTTGTAGTTTACAACACCAACAGTTAGATGGATCTCCCCGGGTGTCACGTCCGTGGAGGAGCTAACAGAATAGTACCTTGGCTTTAGAGATGGAAGCTGTGTTATCAAAAACGTAGGATGTACCTCAAGGGATGGGAACATTTTTAGCACCTCAAGGAATGTTGGGTAATAGTAGGACTTCCATTCATTATATTTATCTGTGCTCTGAAAGAATTAAATAGAGACACTTATTAAAAGGAAGACCTAAAGAATATGATGGTGTTTAAGACATAAAAGAGCAAAACAACATGAACAAGATGCTTAGCTGGGGAAAAGAAATAAATGTTTTTAAAAATGTTTTTTTTTTGTTCCCACAGAATGCAGCCCCTATTTTGCACAATATATTTACACACACTACGTCTACTGCACAGACACACACTCTGCATTCACTATACACATTCTGCATTCAATATACATACACAGCATCCACTACACAAACACAGACTCTGCATTCACTATACTCACCCTGCATCCACAAAACTTTTGAGCCACCCCCAGCGCCGAGCCGATCCTCAAGGCTCCCGAATGGTGAGCCCAGTCACAGGGTGGCCGGAGGTGGCCATCTGGCCACCTCAGGGCGCCCCCGAAACTGTGCTAGGTAAGGCAGAGCAGGCACCTGCTTACTTTGATGGCAGATGCCTGCTCTGCCAACAAATGCCATTGACCATCTGAGGAGAGGGGGACAGAAAAGCCAGGCGTTCAGGAGCCCCACATTTGACCCCAGGGAGATGAGTGTTTGAGTGTTTAACTGTCAGTTTAACTGTCAGTGTGTCTGTGTATGTGTGTCAGTGAGTGAGTGTATATATGTAAGTGAGTGTCTGCCTGTGTGTTTGTGTTTGTGTGTGTGTGTGTGTGTGTCAGTGAGTGTGTGAGTGTTTGACTGTCAGTGAGTGTCTGCCTGTGTGTTTGTGTGTGTGTGTGTGTGTCAGTGAGTGTGTGAGTGTTTGACTGTCAGTGAGTGTCTGCCTGTGTGTTTGTGTGTGTGTCAGTGTGTGTGTGAGTGTTTGACTGTCAGTGAGTGAGTGTATATGTGTGTGTGTGTGTGTGTGTAAGTGAGTGTATGTCTGTCAGTGAGTGTGTGTCTGCCAGTGTGTATCTGTCAGTGAGTGAGTGACATGAGAGGGCAGCAAAATGGATCTTTGCCTAGGGCGGCAGAAATTCTTGCACCGGCCCTGCACACACTGCATCCACTACACAAACATACAATCTGCATTCACTATAGAAAAACACACACTATACACACTGCATCCATTACTGCATCCATTACACACACTGCATCCGCTTTACATGCACACTACATCCACTACATATACCGCATCCAATTTACACACACACTTTGCATCCACTATACACCCCTCCTCATCCACTACACACAATCTCTGCATCCACTATACACACACTCTCTACATCCACTATAAACACACTGTAACCACTATACACACCACATTCGGAAAACACGCACACTGCATCCTTGTGGGTGGACCCAGGATGTTCCCTGTAGGCAGACCTGGGGGAGGACACCAGGATCCCAGATCTTGATCTGTGTTTTGGGTCCCAAAATTTCTGATGGCAGCTCTGCATGCTTATCGCATGAAAATAAACTGACAAAAAATAGTGGGACTACAATCATAGTCTCCTAGGACCATAATCACTACAATATGCCACATTGCTTACTGTTTTTGAAGCATACCTCTAAAAATATATCATTAACACGAATAACAATAACATGTCACGTTGACTGCAAAAAAAATATTATTTTAAGCAGTGCCTAGAGCTAGGATATATACGTGATACTGATGCCAAAGCCAGTACAACTACATTGTGAAAGAACCTGATTAACATGCCATTTAGATAAACAATGAATATGATCCGTACATTGCACAACTCTTCAAGCCGCGTTTTATCTGTAACGTCAGCAGCCAGCAAAGACAATTTTTTCAGCAGCAGCTGGGTTGGTGGGGTGGTTAAATCAAGGAAGTATGTCAGCATTTGGAACAGAGAACAAGAAGGGATTTTCTCGCTGATTGTCCAAAAGTTTCCTAAAAAAAAAAAAAAAGGAAATCTGTAATTATATAACCCAAATTGTTCCTGTTAACGAATCTAACTTCCTTACGCCTAGTGAGACTTTTGGGGGTTTTCTTAATCAAATAAATCAATCAGGATATTAAACATCTTCTCGTAACTGACTATCCTGGCATGATTGCAATAATTGCTCTCTTTTTTACATTACTTTATTCGAAATCAAAATCATTTACAGTAATGGAATATACAACATATTATGTTTGCAGTATTAACTATGTATAAACAATGGCAGGCTGATAATTGTTGCAACTGATTGTTTTTATTGTTTGATTGTAAATGTGGCAAATAAAGATTTTTTTATTTCCTCTCCTATCTTTCTAAATTATTAATGGAATGTTCTAAAATATTAGTAAGGAAGCATTTCTAAAGGAATTTTTTATAAGAAAACGAGGATATTTTGTTATTCCTGATAAGTAAAATACTGCATTTTGTATAGCTACTGTGTGTATTATTTTGTAATGAACACATTTTCAGTGTATCTCCTGGCTTAGACATAATTAGTGGGGACAGCCATTTTTACTCATCTTTGGTTGAAAGCAAAAAAATAAAAATAATTGGATGCCAAACACTTGCGCACAATGTTAGGATGTTGTGTTTTGTTTGTTTGTTTTTATGAACAAGCTGTTCATTCCAGAGAAATGTTTAACATGGCTTCTCCAGGGGACATGGGTAAGCCAGAAGATCCATGCAAAAGGATGCGTTTACATACATGTATGAATTACAAAACAATATGAGTAAAGGCTACATGTTGTGCTTTATTTTAAGTAATCATAAAAAATTATGACAGTTTTCCTTTAAGTACCTGTAACTTAAAATCACAATGTATTGGAAGTTCGATATCTCTCAAAATTGTTACCTGTGGTTTTAGAATTATACATATTTGCATGTCTATCGATGCGAAGTACACAGTAAAATATAAATCTTTAAATACTCAGTACAAGGAGTTGACATACTGGTGTTTACCTGTCTTAACCTATAAATGATCATCACTTTCCAGGAATCATTAATGATATTAACAATGTTTGTATTTCACTTCCTCGTTTGCTATGTGTGCCCTGTCTATGCCTCAACTGACCTTGATTGTGATCACAGTGATTTCATTTGAAAGTTTTTTTGGAGCAGTTTAAGCAGTAAGTAATATTACTACCATGTTTGTCTCTCGTGTTAGAATTTAATTTATACCTACCAGTGTTGGGGTGTTTTGACATACTGGTGAGTTCAACACATTAAAGCCATATGATGTGATCAAATGCCAATATTTTGATTGAAATCAATTAGTTTATGTAGATTCAATAGTGTATAATATGAAACTGCTTTTTTTTTGTGTGCACTAATGGTTTTAGATTTTCTGGAAATTCAGATCATTTTATAAGTTTTTTGTGTACCTGAAATCCCTATTTTCGCTGTTTTGGTACTGATGACAAAGTGTATTTTTAATGACTTACGACAGTACTAGGTCAGCTAACATATTTAAGAGCTCTTGATGCAGAAATATGTTATTTTTCAATATGTATATCTGAATGAATTTAAACAATGATTTTAGGTTTAAGTTTCCCTTTAAATGTGGAGCTGTTTCACATGCAGGTGCTGAAATGCTGGAGTATGTTGTTATCTAGGTGTCTGTTGCCCTAATTCTAATGTCAAAATATTATGTATTTTCCTAATCTTGATATGGCGGAACCCAGAAGGGATTTTATTTTTATGGAATTTTGTCTCTAAATTATTATTTACAGTGTGAATGTGTAACCTAATGTATGAATTTGAAAAATAACCAAGGATCACATTTTGATGACAATTAATTATGTGTTTCGCATTTCTAATTTAACATCACTCATGATAGGTGGGAATAGTTTAGATAAATCTTTTGACATTAATAGTTGACATCAATATTTTTTGCATCTGTACTCTACGTATTAGAGTAAAACATCAACAAAAAAACAAAAGAACCACGAGTGAGCACATACCCATCCAGCTGGATATAGAAAAAAAGGGAGATTATTTATTCGAACCTACAATAAATGCCAGTTTTTATAAGTTTTGGTTTTGAAAGGCAAATTAAACCCCCTACTACCATGTAAAGTGGTTCATTTACATTATAGTCTGAGCAGATAAGCAGAGTCTAGTAATAGCAGGTAAGCAGAGCAGTCATTCAATAAACAAATGATCTTTTATCCCATGATAGAGACTTTTAGTTGTAATTCTGGCAGTGCATTTTATGGCGTGGGGGATGGACATATACCATGAGTATTGTGATGAGTCATTTGGCTTAGAGATGGTTAATGCATGACCTAAAACACTGTTCGACAATGTTTCACAAATGCTTTGTTTTCTTATTGTTTAGAAGTGAGTGTTGATGACAAGAAGATGATCTGTTAGTGGATTGGCTATTCAGTTGTGTTATTTTTAAAAAAACACAAGAGCATCAGGGTCATAATGTGGAACCTGGTTTAGTTGCAGGGATATGAAGAATAGTAATGGTATATGGCATTTGCACTAACCAGAAACATAATAGAAATCTTACCCTGTTCGCTGCGTGTCTCCAGTCGGATGTCCTGATTGCAGGGAGGTGCATCCTTCAGAAGTTTAATTATGCCCGTAACAAGGTTTGGATGGTTTCCAGGGTATACACCAACATGTTCTCCTGGCAGATACTGTACTTCCTGGCTATTCTCGCAGGAAAGTTTGACTAGCAGGGTGGCACGGCTGAGAACAAGAGAAAGATCTCATAATAGGACTAAATACGCATTCAGGATTTCCGTTCTCTCAGCCTGATCAACAACTGGCTTTAGTTACACAGACACATTGGATGACTGTGGCTTTTTGTATCTTTTTAATTCCATTTACAGGTGAAAAAGGACATCAAAATAGTAGCAGCCAGTACATAATCCTTTAACTCTAGTAAACAACTTAATCTCCATCCAAAACCTGGAATAAACTAACAATAAAAGCATATATGCACACCATAACATGGGCTAATATTATGAAAACACTCCAATATTACAGACATTCTGGGTTATTCTCTAAAGTGAGAATTCAAGAGAATATACAATTTAAGGTTAAAATAGCCAAACTAGAAAACATGCACTGCTCTCTGGCAGGGTACTGAATGGGTTAATGCTACAATGTAAACAATGTTCACAAAAGGAAAGGGCATCAGATACCTCACTTGAATAAGGCTAAATACCTACAAAAGCTTGGGGTATGCACAAAATATATGCATATTTAAAATTATTAAAAAGTATATTCATTTAAAATAAATTTGTGAAAAAAGTGAAAACACAATAGAATGATAATATATATTCTAAAAACCTCTAATCAAAGACGATGTTAGTAAACCATTATATAAGCTACAAGCAGAAAATGAGTCTATAACCCTAGTCTCATTCCAGGGAACTTCCCATTTTAATTTAAATTGCAATATTTATTCAAGTATTTATTAAGATGTTCTGATTGTCCCTTCTACTTTTGAATGTTAATATGGAATTAACATTGCTGGTTCCATGCTTTTCAATTGTGATTTTTGTCTTTGGACGGAGAATGTTTAAAACTGGCATCACAGCTACACTGGCTAGTAAATATTTTTAAAATGGCATATAATCTAGGACAAGACCGGTTTTCTCTGACAACAACTAGTAAACATTTGAGTAAAAATTCAATGATTTTTGTAAATATTTTCTATTTTTGTCACTGAATTACCTTGAGTTTTGGCATAGATTTTCTCTGTGTTTCAGCCTCATTGGAAGGATGTTCCTAGAATGCATTGTAGTGAGTGCTGCAAAAAATGAATAAAATATATTAACAACAAAACATAGCAAAATAAAAAACAAAAAGATCAAACACTTATCTGAACTTTATGCAAAGAAGATAGGCCGCAAACAGCCTGTCCAGGAATCATCATATCCCAACCAGAGGGAATACCATTATACAAAAAGGAGAATGGACCAAGGAACCTCAACAATATGGATTGTCCATAGAGATATGTAGTAAAGACATAAAGGGAATTGTGGGGAACCAGCATCTCTCAGCAATGGTGCTGCCTTAGAGACCAAAAGCCAAGGAACAGAGTCTGTATTTTGCATAGATATGTAGTAACACTCTCTGTGAAACTGCAGCAGTATTATGAAATTCGTTGGGTCCTTCCAAGCAATTTAATGTTTGGTGACATTGGTGGAGGTTTATTCATAAAATATTGGATTGGGATGAATTGTAAACATAATTTGCTAAATGCATGCCAAAGTAGCCCAGTATTTATTTTTGGAATTTTCCAGTTATTGTTTTTGGACTTAAAAGGGCACTTTAGTGTCAGGAACACAAACATGTATTCCGGACACTATAGATCTAATATCATTATTTAGGCCCTCAGCCCCCCTGTCAAGAAAGTAAATGGTTAAAAAGCACCCTTTTTCAGAGCGGAATCAATGCATCTGTATGAGGAATGTTCAGTGTCGCAATGCAGAGCCCCAGGACGCACCTCTAGGGGCCTTCTGAGGGGTGGCCACTAGAGGTGTTCCTAGGCTGTAATGTAAACACTGCATTAAAATGCCAGCAGGGACTGACTATACTCATTAAAACAACTATGTTAAGCTGTAGTTGTTCTGGTGACTATAGTGTCCCTTTAAGTGTGAAAGCATGTTTTTCAGTTCTCCACAATTGACTGAAATCAGAGTTTATTCCCAATTGGGTACTATCAAATATATACAACTTCCTTTTCCAAATTAACCCCTTAAGGACACATGACGGAAATATTCCATCATGATTCCCTTTTATTCCAGAAGGGGTTAAAGCCAATATGTGGCAAACCTGTGACTACGGGTAAAGGTAAATATTACTGTTTAAAAACTATTTGTCAGATGAGTGATAATTTTAATAGGTGTAAGTTGGTTCATTACTTTGGGTGTGTATTAAGTTATTTATGAAAAAATAGCACTGTAAATAGTATGAGTATTTTCAAGGTCAGGTAAAAATACATGCAATGCAAGTCTGATAAATCTGCTGCATTTGTAAACCACACAGCATTTACCAGAACACGCATTTTGGTGAATACATGACCTAAAGTTGTTTAAAATGTTATGATTCAATGCAAACTATTTCCCATTACCTCATAGGTAGCTGCAATTAAAATACTCTTGGTTAGTAGGTATGTGACAACGACTCTAAATATGCTCTTTTGCCGTAGCAGCAGGCTTGTCATGTAAACATCATGGGCCTTGAATATGCATGAGAAACTCTTAAAAGTTAAGTCTGCCATTAAGAGTCACCATGAATTTGCAAAGCAAGTATGCATCTTGCGTTGAGTAAACAAAAAAACTATGCTGACCTTTAACTCTTTGTGTTAAAGGACCACTCTAGGCACCCAGACCACTTCAGCTTAATGAAGTGGTCTGGGTGCCAGGTCCTTCTAGGGTTAACCCATTTTTTCATAATTATAGCAGTTTCAGAGAAACTGCTATAATTATGAATGGGTTAAGCCTTCCCCCTAATCCTCTAGTGGCTGTCTCATTGAGAGCCACTAGAGGCGCTTGCGTGCTTCTCACTGTGATTTTCACAGTGAGAGCACGCAAGCGTCCATAGGAAAGCATTGCAAATGCTTTCCTATGCGACGGGCTGAATGCGCGCGCAGCTCTTGCCGCGCGTGCGCATTCAGCCCAGGAGGAGGAACGGAGGAGGAGAGAAGGAGGAGAGCTCCCCGCCCAGCGCTGGAAAAAGGTAAGTTTTTACCCCTTTCCCCTTCCAGAGCCGGGCGGGAGGGGGTCCCTGAGGGTGGGGGCACCCTCAGGGCACTATAGTGCCAGGAAAACGAGTATGTTTTCCTGGCACTATAGTGGTCCTTTAAGTTAATTTTATAGTAAATATTTTACCTCTGAGATTGGGAATGTAGCAGACGTGAGATTACAGTGTTTGTTTTCTAAATATCTTTTAAATAATTTGTACTAAATATGTCTTACTGAAGGAACTGTGAGTGCCATCAGACTGACCCCTTACAAAATAGGTCAGGGGAACATTTCATGCATTTTAAAATATGTGCTATTTTTTCCTCACTCTTGCTATACTGTAAATATAAATATAAGATACATTTTGATTTAAAGTGTAGTTCCACTTTAATAGAGTAAAATCATTACTCTATTAAAGAAGATAAGACAAACTTTTTCGAGTTCCTGATTTGGGGTAAGCAAATAAATAAATTAAAGAAATACTGTTTTTGTACCATTTTCCAGCTTGCAAATCCCCTGCAAATGGTTAACCATAAATATAGTACTAAATAGAAAATCTAATCTGTTCAATGGTTTCTTAAGTGCTTCCTGCGTCCATTTGTCTGTAAGATCATCAACTCCCCATTTCCTTAATACAGAGAGCCAACACCTTTTTCCTGAATACACCGACCACCGAACTGTGGAGTGACAATAATGCAAGTGTGATGTATTGTGAAAATACGGCATTAACTGTGCCAACAAAAGGACTCTTGACACTTTAGCTCTTGTAGACTATAACTCTCACAATGCTGTACCATCTAAAAGTCAACTTAGATGTCTTGTCAGTATAGGAGTTGAACAGCTGCAATGACCAAGGCACCCAACCTTTGTCTTACTCTTATAAGTTCCCATCACCAGCGAGCTGATTCTAGTTCCTTGTGTATAATGAATGCATCTATGTCATAAATACAAACTGGTGCTCACATAGCCTTTGGCATGAAACATTACATAACAGGAAAACTGACCCGTGATAGAAAAGCACCCCATACCCTTTGTAAAGCAAAGTATGATAATCTCTGCGACCCAGCTGCAATATTTTTTTAATGCATATCTTTCTAGACTTAAAGAAGAATACAAAATGAAGATACCTTTGATGTAGTTCAATGACTGTGTTTCCTTCACAAGGCGGTAGTTTTCAGGATTCCAAGTTTCTGTTGAGGTATAGCACTTTGGCAATACTATACTTTCTCTGTCTCGAATTTTAAATACTTCACATGCCGCCTGCAACAGTATACAGAAAAATTTTATATATCAATATCTTACAGTCAGTATTTGGAGTTATATATTTGTTCTTAAGAACCTCATGTTAGTACAAGTATATGATGAACATTTAATATATATATATATATATATATTTGTTTAATTTAAAATAATTCAAAGTAGATTTCGTTTTAGACCATAACAAATTAATCAAATAACTTAAAACATGTAAAATTAAAAGAATTGTGAGATAGGCAAATCTGACTCATGATAAAGCAAGGTAAAGTGTACCTCCCCATGACACACGTCCAATAAGTGTAAATGAAATAGATAATAAAGTGAAAACAGCTGACTGAAAAAAATGTCTATTTATTTTGGCTTAATATTTTAATCACTTTAAAATCGCCATACCCTGCAGGTGTACATTTCCACCTTTATGTGTGGGAACACATTACAAGGTTATCATTACATGTCTCAGAAATATCCAAATCTGTATGGTATTCAGACTCATATAGAGCTACATCTCCACCTAAATGAAATTGAACTATTGATAACAAAAACAAGTTTTGCCCTATCGATCATCACCTGGACCTCCTTGGTAAGAAGTCCTACAAGAAGTTAGTCAATTGACAGATTATATCTATACGGCTGTTGAAACTGATTCCATTAAGAGGCACTTGTGAGTTAAAAATGGCATGCACAATTATCTTCCACGTCAATGATTTGTATTTTTTCAATATAATGATAACAAAACCAGGTTTTGCCAAATAGATCGTCACGGCTCAACAAAGCACCTGTTGTAGAACCTCTAGTCCATACTAGATAAATCCTCTGAATCTTATGTACTTATTTCAACGTATTTTTTGTATGAATGTTTAAATGTTTGTATAGTGTTATTTAGCCCTTGATACCTTCCGGGCAAGGTATAGAGACTAATAGACAGAGAGACAGACACATAGGCTGATAGTTAGACAGTTATGCAGACAAATAGAGAGATCATCTTATAAATATACTGTATGGTAAAAAGAAGTCTGGGTTGGGTAAGTGATAATCATCTCAGAACAAATGTGCATGTACAACTGTTTAGTAATACCTTAAAAGTATGGGCTGCCCAAGAATGGAAAGCCTCATCTTGACCGTTGAGCTCATCTCCTTCTCCCGTAGAACCAATCTGTAAAGCTCCGAGGTTAGCCAACTTCTCTTCCATAGTGTGAGCAAAGGCACAGAAATGAGGGTACATGCTGGATCCAAGGCCAAAAACAGCAAACCTGTTATGAAAGAGAAGAACCTCATTGCTATCCTCCAAATTTGCCTTTTACTCCACGTACTCTCATAAAGAAATACATTCTCACGTGCTCTTCTAAGAAAAGATAGTTATTCTTTTGAAGGGGCAATTTGTGTCATTTGTAATGGTTTCCATCCTTCATTGACGCAGCAAACTAGCATTTCTGGTATGTGTCCCTGCCTTTCAGGTTGTACAGGTGAACATGTAGGTCAAATGCTTAACCCTGTCCTTTCTAATAAGAACAAACATTTTCAAGTTCCTTGGAAATCATTATTAAATTGAGGAACGTATATGCCTTAATCTATTGTAATGGTCTTCATAGCTGTACTCTAAAGTTAGGATTTGAGAATGTCTGTACAGTTTCATGTACCAAATTAAATACTACTTATGTTAAATAATTTTTTATTATAATTATTATTATTATTATCACGTAATGTGACTGTACTAGAACAGAGACATTCTGGCTTGTTGATATATCATGAAGACAGGTGTGAAGAATCTTGGCTTACTGTCCCATACCTAACGACTATAGTAATAATAATCAAAATAAGTAATTACTTGTTCATTTATTTATTTATTTTTCCTACCAAGACAAAAAATACATAAATTTTTCAAATATAGCATGTTTTTTATTGCTTTTAAATCCTACCATTGAATGATAAGTGGCTAGACGATGTAGAGCTTACATCAGGTAGTTGGTGTACAGTTTTTAGAATCACTGATTCACCTTTTTGCAATGCAAGGTATAAGTTCAGTTCAAAATAATATTTATATTACAGACTCTATAGAATTGATTATGGCTGGTGGAGCACTATTTGTATGTATCTAAGTAAGGGTTTGCTGAACAATATTGAAGTAGCTTCTAAGATATTTTGGTCATTTTTTTCCACAGTAACATAACATGTAATATCAGGACAAAAATAAAAGTATAGAACATGAATTGCTGAAACATGAAGGTTATTTAAATTAAAAAAAAACATAAGTCCCCTATTATATTTAATGTTAGCATAATTTTGCTAACATAAACACGTTTCTTTGATGTTACAAATTCCTACCTTAATTTGTTTTTCAATTTGCTCATGGCAGAGATCGACTTCTTAAATGTCTGTAAGATAGAAATATATGTGTGTATGTAAATATATATTTTTTAATTCTTTTAGGTTAATTGTTTTTCTATAGGTATTTTTGCACTTGACACCAGAATGAAATGGGACTTTAAGTCACAACAATGTTTATTCATAATCAGAGTTTAAAACTACGTTATGTCTATTTTTATTTTTGATTAAACTAGCAGCACTTTAATGTACAGTTAACACTAGTACACATATGAGGGGTGATGAATATGTATAATAATTTATCCTCTTCATATTTCATGCACTTTGTAATCATCACTGTAATAAATAAGTCAAGAACCTTATTTTAGCAATAGTGTATGCACTTAATAACAATGTATTGCATGTATTTAGTTGTACACAATAACAGAATGGTTTATAACTTGATATATGTACCTAGGTTCACAGCAGTGTGGCATGTGCAATATATATTTACATGGCAAACAATATGGTCGCCAAATAGGGGGTGTGATGAGCGATACGCATGGGCATGTGAGGGGTTTTAGACTGCAGTCAGTTTTCTCTTGTGCAACGCTGTGGCATTACCTTTGGTAATTAATATATTTACAGCACACGTCCATAGGGGACATGGATATGGAGATGTGATCTGCACAACTGGATGGTACGTATTTTAGTTTTCTATAAATAAGTGTATTATATCTGTGTAAAATGTCTCATTGTCCTGGTGATAATTCCAGCTGGGCACTGAAACAATGTATTTTATACAATATTGGAATAAAAGTTTAATTACAATTTTTTTATATACAAATCGTTTGAAATAGAAATATATATAATTATACATTGTTAGAATTGTAGGATTTCAATTATCATATGTATGATTTTAAACTGTAATCTCATTGGCCACATTCTCCTCTTCTTGATAAACCATGGTGAAAGAGGCACTTGAGTAAATTTATTTTCCAAATATTTTTTTTTCTTTATTGAACTCTGAGATGTTTAATATATTGACAGTGTCAGTATAATGCTTGTTAATAAAGCTTGTTGAACAATGTGCAGTCTTTTAAATTATACTTGGCTCCTTCTCCCACAATCCTCAGAGGCAGATATCTATATACAGGTTGGGGAAAGTGATCATTCTCTGGGAAATACAGACTTTGGTTTGTTTAGTCTGTATAAACGGAATACATAACCTCCATTTTTTTTTATCAATTACCATATGGGAAATAAATTATTACTTAAAATACGGTATTGTTACATAATTCTTGCGTTTCAGAAAATAAGGACATTTGTTCTTTGTATTTTGCAATCATACAATATCTAGTCTCTTAGCATTCCTCAGACATGCTTTGCCTTGTTAATAATAATCAACAGACAACACAAAAAAACAATAACAACAAAACTCAGCGCATCCTACCTCCCCATTGCCCGGACAATCCCCATTTCCGAAAGTGCTTGTCACAATCAATAAAAGTGTTTCTTTTTCTAGGTTACTGATGTCATATTCATCCATGCACAGGACCTAAAATATAAAACTCACAATCATAAGAGAGAGCGACAGTGGGAGACACGTTTTAATCAGGAACAAGTTCAGCATTATGTACATAAGTTTGTAAATATATATATATAATTAGCCATTTGAGTGTAGACCTAAAGGTTGCCTTGTATCAAATTCAAAATATTGGAAATTGCTGTTAAAATAAATATTGTTTCTAGAACATGAAACCATTTGGTGCCAAATTTAGGAATACTATTCAGAACTGGCACATTATTAGAATAGATTGTTCTGAATTAGTATAATTTCCAAAGCACTGTCATTCATAGTAGCATGTTCACTACCAGTATGGAACTAATGAGTATTGGTCCGTAGATTAGGCAAAGTAGGGGATCCAAAGGACATACAAACCTCCTTATTGTTTGTATTTTGGTGGTAAATAAAGATATATTTTTTTTCTTTATTTGTTCTTACTCCAAATTTGAATACGTGAAACAGTAATAACTATTGAAATCTAGCTGCACTTTAATTTCTTAACTTGTTTTTACTTGATAAATGAAGGCAAGTGTATAACCATTGAAAATTATAGCAAAAATCCATTTCATATTTGGGGAAGCATTGGATTGGCTGAGATCACCTGCAAGGATCATCTCAGCCAGGAAAGGAGCAACAACTTTGGCAAGACGTGCTCACCCAGCAATCTAAATAGTTAGGATATATATTCCTAACTTTCGAGTGATCCTTTAAGACAGATGTTTACCTTGGAATTGAAAGCATAGCTAAATAAAGTGTGCAGCTTTTTGGCAAATGTTTCGGATTTCCCAGTTTCTGTGGCATAGATGATAGTTGCCTTGGTTCTGGAAGCCATTGATTTCCTCAGTAAAATGGATGCAAAAAGAAGAGATCTACAATGGTGAAAGTTTTGGTTAAACATATGTAGCATTCCAACAAATAAGATTAGAATGGCTACTTTGTAATTTGTTACACAACAGTTTAACAAAAGATACCTATAAAGCAAACAAAAATAAAGGAGACAGAACATATGTCTAACTGTAGAACGTTGACAGATTCTACTGTTAAAGAAACACAGTACACACTTTAAAAACTGCATCTTATTGTTATAGTGCCTGCAGTCTTCTCCCCCTCCCTCCCTCCCCACAACCATCCAACCCAGCAAAACACTTTATTTCACTGAATTGAAGATTTGGAAGCACGGCTTCAAGTCACGCCTCCAAGCAATCTGGGTATGAGAGCCAGGAATCTTACTTCCTGGCTCTCATACCATAACATACCATGACGTCATGCACACATGCACAGTGCCGTTATGGTCGGCCATAGAGAATCATTGGATACAATATTATAGGTGCATCACAGCAAGCGGCTCACTTATGCCTATGTTCTTTAATGCTCCTCTATGAGAAGCATTTGATTGGCTTTTTGCCTCCAGGATGATGCAACCCGAGGAGCTGAAGAAATGGTGAGTAATGTATTTTTTTCTTATTTTTATTTTACTTGGAGGGTGCCTAACTGATAAGGGCTGTCAGGGCTGTAGATATACAGATATCTATTCCTAATGCTAGAGTGTTCCTTTGTGTAGACACAAATATAGTTGTTTTTTTAAAGCTGATTGTTCTGGCATAACCTCAGTGTGTTCCATCCACGCTACTTATATTTAGACATATGAAAATAGTGTGTTTGTATATATACACTTATTATTCATATAACATATAAATAAGTTGTGATTATATCTGAGCTGGAGAATGTCTCTGGAAAGTCTATGTAATACATCTCCCACCTGGAGTATCTTATTAAACAATGCTTAAATTGTAGTTATGCAGCAATTAATTCACGTTCAGTTGCTATGGTATTTATTTATTTATATTCTAAAACTGCTGGTTATCTACACCCTGATGTGTTCCTTTAAGATGTTTTCACTAAAAACAAATACAAAAGCTGTGTGTTCTTACTTTGCAATAGTACTGAACTTAAATGTGTTCTTTTTTGGCTTAAGGCTCTCATCGTGCCACACATGAGTCTTCCAGGGGTCAATCTAAAAGAAAAAGTGTTGCATGAATATAAATCGAAAACAACAAACAAATAATCAGATAGGCTTATAAAATGCATACAAGAATGACAGAATACAGCAAGCAAGTGGTACCTAAATTATACCAGTGAATGTGTGCCTTTCTTTGATTATATAGGTGAGTGCAGAATCCAATCAAATGTACAAAGGGTATCCAGTTGGATAAAATGTGGAAATGTGTCCTGACAAAACTATAAAATATACAATACACCTCAACCTTGGAATGTTGGAAAAATAAAAAAATGAGAAGTTTTCCATGTATCGTATTAAACAATGAAATAATTCCATTTGTGATATAATTCCATTTGTGATATATTATTTCTTGGTTTTAGTATCTAACAAATGGTGATACCTGATAGTAGTAAAAAGGGCTGAGGATATAATTGAGCATTTCCTGGTGGAAAACTGTAGTGACGCTTCCTGACATTGGTGGAACCAGCCAAACCCAATCAGCCGGGCAACCTCCCCGCAGCCTGTGTTCATTTTCCATGTGTTTAATGAAGGACTCTGCGGCAGTGTGATGATCCGTAATAGTTACATTCTGTTTCTGCAAGATAATACACCAGTCAGATAAAATGAACTTTCAATCACAGCTATGTGTTATGCTGATTCTCAAAAACACATATTAAGAGTTACATATCAAATAGGTAATGTCTATATTTCCAACAGACCCTTACTGTACCTCATGATAATGTACAGGATAAATGAATTACATTATTTTGAATAAATAATGTTCAAACACCTTTCTTATGCATCTGCTTACTTTTTCCAAATAGTCTTCTATAAACCCCCCCATTACCAAAACTCGTGTGACCTATAGCAGATGAAGCCACAATAAAAGAATACTCTAATCACCATAACCACTACAGCTGTTCATGGTGTTAATGGTGCTATACGTGTTTGGATAATTAATTTATTATGGGGTAGGGAAATCAAATAGGATCTTTTAATATGAGGAGCAGACCAGCTCTTGGATTTTATTGTGGAGTCTGGCAAAACGCAACTTCTTTTGAATTAAACTTTTTACCTTAATTTGCATCGGAGCTATACCTCTGAAACCATGGCATCATTTAGTACACAGGATATAGGGTAGCAGATTCTATTATTTTATTTGGAATGATTTCTCTCTGGTCGGAAACGTTGATTTTTCTTTTGGATTATGGCATTTAGTAAATAGTAGTTTGGCGCAACTTTGCTGCTACATCAAATCTCAACAAATCGGGCTCTATTGAATCAAGGTGTAGGTATTTTTATGGGTAAAACACTGTTTAAAGAAGGTTGTAGATTTCTCCAGGAATATTTAATAGCTGGTAATGATAATACTTTTTTTGGTAGCCATATTAGCCATGATACACGTGTAAAATAATCCATTATATATGATATCAATAAAAGCATGTCCTTTACAGTTAGAAAATTTATGTCACAAATTTAAGCATCTCACTTTTCTTCCAGTATCTAACAAACAGGGTCCAATATTCAGTTCTCAATTCTTACTGCTCAGTAAAATGATATATCATTGTATCTACAGCTTGCTCTTACATTCACAGTCTCTAACACTTTAGCTGACTTGATGTTACGCAATGTATAAGTGGAACTTACTTGAAAGCTATAGAGTACCGCAACATTGATCTCAACCACAGCTAAGTCTTTCCACAAAGATGTAACTTTGCTTGTGTCTAGACCCATTCTTTTTCCTATATCCTGCAAAGAGATAAAACATATGTCGGTTTATATTTATCAAATAACTTTACTTTGTATGCCCTCAGTTGATTGCCGTTTCATTAGAACATATTCTTGAGTAAGCGCTACATCAATACAAAGGGGCTATTAATTAATCTGGATTTGTGAGCGAGTAAATTACACATTTTAGATTAAAATAACTAGCAGGAAAAATAGCCTTATATTTTTAATTCCACTTTTCTAGCCTAAACTTTAATTTGCACTTCCCTTTTTTAACTCACCACAATTCTAAATAAATGAGCAAATGACCTATTATCAATAAAAAAAGCTTCTACACTTCATTTAATCCACCATCACTTTACATGATGACAAATATTTAACATTTTAACTTTGAATAAACATTTTCATCTACTGTGATCAGATAGCCTTAACCAATCTAAACTTTGAGTAATTAATCAACTACAGAGAGAAATTGATTAAATATTGATGGCAATGCTAAGTTTTAACCTGACTAAACAAAACACATCTGTTTCATAGATAACTATACTATATTTCTTTCCATATTCACATATTTTTGGAAATCTACTTTCACGTGTTTGCTAACTATAGCCCAAAATGTTATATTTACATCTCTAAATGGCATGCGTTCAAGTTCACTATAAGTCAGTATGTTCTAGTGTACACGTAGGCAGTTCCAAAAAGTTTCAAAAATTATCTAAAAATGTGGTAAAATATATTGAAACAGTGCATGAAACCTATTCTGGAACTAAAATAGTAAAAAAAAAAGTATATATTTTATTATATTGAAATTAAATTACCTGGAGCACATTATAACGAGAAATATCGCAAAAATCCCGAACACCAATTTCTGTCCCCATGTACCAGCCATTGAAAGGACATGCAGGAAATTCAACACCCCCAACTTCAAGAAGCATGTTCGCTACTGCGGGCAATGTGTACCACTTTAAATTGAGTTCTTTGAACCAGTCATATCTTTAAGATAAAAATAACAAGCAACAAAAATAAAATTTATTTTTTTAAAGTACAATATGATTAATGAAAACATAATCTACTAACTACTTGAGATATCCAAACTAGAGTTAAAAAACACAATATGGTCAGGAACACAAACATGTATTCCTGACCATATAGTGGTAATAAAACCATCTAGCACCCCTTCCTCCGTGCGCCCATATATAATACAAAATCTTATTTTTAGTCAAGTCTGCTGCTGCTGGCTCTGCCCCTTATCTGCTTTTGGCTGAGACTGTCAAGTAGGAAGATCAGGGGCAGAGCCAGCAAAAGCCAAATACAGCCCTAGCCAATCTCCCCATTGAATCAATGCATCTCTATGAGAAAACTTCAGTGTCTCCATGCAGAGGGAGGAGACACTGAATGTCAGTGCTACACACTTTGCAGCACTGCCCCAGGAAGCACCTCTACTGATACTGTATATATCTTTAGCCTACCCACACTGCATCTTGTTACAATTACAGTAAGCTGTGGTTGTTCTAGTGACTATAGTGTCCCTTTAAGTATACTTTCTAAAATTTAATCTGAGATATCAAAAAATGTATTAGTACCTATTGAATTCTGGTTATTTTAACAACTAAGCAATATTTTTAGCATATAGGTTTTCCCCAATGTACTTCAGCTGTCAACAAACTACAGCTCCCATAATTGTTGAACAGTTTGTGAAGGTTTACAGGAGTTTTATTCAACTAACAACTGGGTCTAAAATAATGATCATATACAGTTATAATTTTGTTGAATTTATTAAAAAAGTGGTGACCATAATTATGACTTACTTGAAGAATCGTGATGCACTTTAATCAGAGATATCTATTGTTCTGAACATGATTGCATAATTTAAGAGGGGCTATCATGATGCCAGCTTCATTCTGATTTATTATTTACAGAGACTACTTTTGATAGTGGCATACCAAAATAACAGTTAAAAGTGCAATGCATTAAATGTGGAACAATCACTCATAAAAATGCAGACGAGAAGATTAACTTGAGATAAGTATAATGAATTAAACTGAACATTGCTCCAATGAAATCACCAGTGTACTTAAAGATTAACAGGGTTATTTGCTTATTAACTATTATTTTTTTTCTGTTTTGTGCAATGGAATGCCTACACGATGTCTACATCTCAGACCCAGTACAATAAAGTCATGAACACATGAAATGCAGAATGCATTGGAATGCATAGCAGCCCGTATATCTCACTGCACTAGCAATTCCCAAATCTCAGAGATAGGCAACGTTTGACACTCTAGATGTTTTAGATTGCATCTCTTATGATTATTTACCAGCATAATGACAGTAAGAGTATTATGGCAGATGTAGTCCACAACATCTGGACTGACGAAGGTTTCCTACTCTTGCCATAGTGTATACTTTGGTGCATAAGTCTGTGCTGATGTCACCAATGCATAAACTTAATGATTTGCTTAAAATATTAACTTTGACAGTCAGGTGCTTGTGCAAGTAAAATGGAAGAGGTCAGATGTTCTGATAAAAGAGGATGCATGTTTATTTCAACATGCTAGCTGATAGAAGGGTTTGAACTATCACTTTCTGTTCTGAGAATAAGAATTCCTGATTTCTGAAACTCAGAAAGAGTACCAACCCACTTGTGCTCGGGTGGTAAGATCATCAGTTTTAGGTATTGCTCCCACATGTTAAAGGGCAGTTAAAGACCTACAAATCTTAGATTTGTTCATCTTGAATTCTATCTTGAGTTCTGTCCTGATATAAAGGATGTCTTTGCTAACCCGTCTTGACAGGATGCTTTGCCTGACGAGAATGCAAATAAAAAGATGTAAAAAATATTGTATATATATATATATATATATATATATATTTGTAGTCGAGAACAATAAGCTGAGTAATATTAAGTTAAGTCAGTTGTGGTGTGCCGAAACCAATGTTCGGGTAGGCCTGTAAAAAGAGGGCCACCAATTTAAATGGCTTGATAAAGGGAGTGGTGGGTGGGCTGAACCAGACAGTCTGAACCCTGAGGATATGTAAATAGTTGAGTTTTTTCACTTTAGGTATGTTCAATGATTTTATTGAATACTGTATATATAATTAAACAAACACTTTAGTAATTGGTACCATATGTTATACTCACGATGCACCTGATGTAATTGAACCTCGTTAGTGTTCCTTTACCCTCCAATCAACAGTTCACAGTGTATATTTAAATGCAATGAGTCACATTGTTAGATTGTCTTGAAAAAAGTCCCCAGTGGACTGAAACGTCGACACTATGTAATCAACTTTTGAAGCTTGAATAAATGGCACATTTTTGGCAACAGTATCAAGTCTTGTGAGTGCACTTCCAACAAGGTATTTTATATTTTGAGGTCGGAGTGGCACCTAGGCAATAAACAAGACTGGGAGCAGGAGTGCAAGACCCAGTGTGAATTATATATATATATATATATTTGTAGTTGAGGACAATAAGCTGAGTTATATTAAGTCAGTTGTGGTGTGCCGAAACCGATGTTCGGTTAGGCCTGTAAAAAGAGGGCCACCAATTTAAATGGCTTGATAAAGGGAGTGGTGGGTTGGCTGAACCAGACAGTCTGAGCCCTGAGGAAGGGGCAGCCTGTGTATTTATAGGCCGGAATATCTCCACCTACAACTACAAGCTTTGCCTTTCCATTTATACAAATCACTATTTAGTAGATATACACAAAATGAAAGCATGCATTTAATAATGCAGTTTTTAATTGTCAGTAGATCTAAAGCTTAAAGTCAAAATAACATTGCACGGAACAAACCGGAACAAAAGGATCAAAACCTGTAGCAAATAGTCCTGACAATTATCCTAGCAAGTAAATTAGTTTGCTAATGTGCATCTTACCAGATGCAATCAGTCCAGAGATTTTTTTTAAATTAGTGCTTTGTAAATGTCTAAATGTCAGATGTAAAAACCACTGATTTTAAAGATGATACAGAATGCATTAGGCCGAATGGAACAGATTCGGTCAAGCTGACCAAATTCAAACCAGAATTGATTTTAGTAAATATTAGAATTGCCAATCCAGTTGGAATTCCAGCCTTTTCAGCAAATTTTGTTAATGTGGACAATATGCAGAGTTTAGTAAATAGATCTGTAAATCCTGAAAGTTAGATCCTTAAATCCTGAAATATTTTCAATTGACAGAGCCCATCGTGTTGCATTTGATAGGTGCACAAGCTGGTAGAAAATAGGAATATTTTAAAATTGTTATAGATCATAAGGAACGTTTGAATGCTTGTAAGACAACTTACCTTGGATGTTCCATTACAACTTCAAGGATGAGTTCTGATGGTATCTCAAACATTTCAGGATCCTGACCATCTGCCTGGAGCACCAATGGAAGGATTTCAAACCGTTCATATTTTGGCTTCCATCCAAGATGAATACATAACTGAAACAGATATATTTGTTTTTAGTTAAGGAACAATCTATTTGTGACCTCGGTACGGGTTCAACATTCTAGCTAAAATATCTAAACTTTGACAATAGTTGAGAATTTTTCCAAACTATCTATTTTGGCCTAAATTTTGCAATTCCATTTTCGATACACCACAATTCACAATTTAGTGAATAAACTCCTAGGTATTTCAATGAATGATCATACAAATCTATGGAATTTGTCATGCTTTGTATACAATAATAATACTGATATGACTATATCACTGACGATTTGAATAGCAGAGATAAAAATCAGAATCTTCGTAACCAGATTTGTGTCTTTTGGTAACAAAATAATTTAGCATACCTTGGTAAAGTCTGTGCTGGCTGGATCACCAAGGACAGAGCCATCTTCCATTTCAAAGCCTGCGTAACGAATCAGCTGGCTGTTCCACATGCGGAAATCGTGCTTCCCATCAGTCCTCTGGGGAAATACTGTAATTGCAGACCTTAGAACAAAACAATTCATAGTTTATTTGGTTAGTTGCTGTTTTTTATATGCACATGCATAAGAAAAGATACAGTCTTCGAAATTAACATTTCAAGCTTAACTTGTTTAGTATTCTACTGTATAATTTGTGAGTTTGCTATTAAACCATCTTGACAACACGCTATGTAAAAAAATGTTAATAAAATTACAAACCTGGCAAATCACTTTTCATGAGGAGATTAAAGCTTTCTGTAGTAAATTTCACATTCAGGGCTAGATTCTGTTAAATAGGCAATTGAAAAGAAATACTCCCATAGTCAATGAAAGAACTGCTATGGAGTTACTATAAATCCCCTGCAATCTTGCTTCTCAATTATCTGTCATTTAGGTATTGAATCACTTTGTTAATTTAGCTGACTCATAGTCTCTCTACACACTTCCTGAAAAAAGAGTCTATATTTCTTAAGTTCCCTTATAGCACAGTGTGCTAAATTTATAATTTCCCATCTCCTGCTCTGTTAATAGCCTGCTATGGTCTCCTGAGTGTGAGTACAGTTCAATTTACAATGAACTTCTAACGTAAACACACTGTGCTGTAAGATCTATTTTTTTCAGGTGAATTGAAGCCCTCACTAGCCAAACTAGCTGATCTGGACAATTGTCCAATTCAATTCAAGTTCACTTTGAATTAGCGAACAAACCTGAGAGTTTATATACATCTATGTGATTTTGAAATTACTTCTTCCCACCCTATAGGAAAATGTAACAATCTATCTGCCACATAAATCACTAGATTTAATATCTTTACAGTAATTCCTATATCAGAGATTGGTTGAAGCCATATTCTGGTTATTAAATACACATATAACATGAAAGATTGCTAGAATTCTAATGCACAAAAGATTAAACATTTTTTTTTTCATGGAGCCTGTGTGACTCATAGCCTGAGGAAGGTGTGGCTATACATAGAAACAAAAAATTATTTAAATCATAAATCGCAGAGAACTGATCAGCGGAACTTCAGGGGCATGCTCTATACACCAAAACTGCTTCATTAAGCTAAAGTTGTTTTGGTGCTTAGAGTATTCCTTTAAGTTTATCACATGTAATAGAATCCAGCTCTAATATTGCTATCTTGTGATCTGCATGCATGAATCCTAGCAACAGCTCACCTGATATTCCCACCATTCGTGGCATATTTAATGTGTCGACAAATAAGATCAAACATTTCTTTGGCTGTCTTGCAGTTGCGTGCATCAAATACCTTGAACAAAAATAAATAAATGATTGCATATGTAGTTTTATTTTTAGATTTTCTTGATACCTAAGGTTTTTTTTTCCACTAAACAGCAAATTTAATTAATATTTTAACTGACTTCTAAAATTGAGGTCATAAAAGCATGATTGGAAAACAATTTTACCCAACTCAAGTATTCTTGCCTAAATCAAGGCGTTTTCTCCTTATTTCAGAGTGCTAGGTGACATTGTATATTTAATGAAATAATATGCCTTAAATTCTATGACATGAAATTAACATTTTCTTTTTTTAAACTCAACTCATGTTATTTTGGTGTACTGCTTCAAAGAAATGAAGATGAGCTATCATTTTTTCAGGTGAATTGAAGCCCTCTCTAGCCAAACCAGCTGATCTGGAAAATTGTCCAATTCAATTCAAGTTCACTTTAAATTGTCCAAACAACCCTGAGAGTTTATATACATCTATGGGATTTTGTAATGACTTCTTCCCACCCTACAGAAAAATTGAACAATCTATCTGCCACATAAATCACTAGATTTAATATCTTTACAGTAATTCCTATATCAGAGATTGGTTGAAGCTCTATTCTGGTTATTAAATACAAATATAAAATGAAAGATTGCTAGAATTCTAATGAACAATATTAGAGCAGCCTTATGCAATATGGGATTCGCAAGCAAACAGCACTGTGGTGAAATAAACTGTGGTGAATAAACAGATGACTTCAAAATGTTTGCTGCAATAACTCAGTAGGAAAAAAAAAAAACCACAATTGACTGTTTAGTGAATTGATCTAAAATGACATGTTCTTCAGGGGACACTGTAGTCACCCGAACAACTACAGCTTAATGTAGTATAGTACTGGTGTCTGTAATCTGTAGTTTTTCAGAGAAAAGGCAGTTTTTACATTATTGCCTAGGAACACTTCTAGTGGCAATCACTCAGACAGCCACTAGAGGTGCTTCCTGGGTCAGAACTGCACAATGTGCAGCACTGACTTTCAGGGACTCTACAGTCTTCATGGAGGCACTGAATGTTCCTCATAGAAATGCATTGATTCAATGCATGTCTGTGAGGAGGTGCTGATTGGCACAGCACAGAGTTTTGCTGCACATGCGCAATAGCCTCCCAATGCTTTCCTATGGTAAAGCATTGGATTGGCTGACATTGTCAATTTTGAGGATCGCAGCCAAGGAAGCAGACTGGGGGGTGGACCTGCGCAGTGCTGGAATAAAGGTGAGTTTTAACACTTTTGTACAGGCCAAGGGGGGGTCAGCCACCTAAAATATGCTTTTAGCACTATAGTGTCAGGAATACATGTTTGTATTCCTGACACTACAGTGTTTTTTTTAACTTACAAACTTATGCATCTTTGTTGATAATAAATAGAATGTACCTACATAAAAAATTAAAAATGTTCACAAAAGTGTGAATTTTTATTCATACCTGTAAATTAGACCATTGAATCCTTCCGATACACCTGGGAGCATTTCGCCATGCTTGTTTTGCAGCAAAAACAAGCTCATCGTACGTTAGTTGGTACGTTCCGGTCCTATCGATTTCCTTGACAACAATCTCTAGCCTATTGAGGTGGTTTTCTATTTGTGGACTGAAAAGATGTGTAATTTAGAAAAGCCAACAATAGTAACACAACAGACCGTGTTAACATGTGTCTTGTCAGAGTATGTGGCCAATACTTGAAATTCAACATTTCAAGACAGTTGGTATTTGAATACATAAACTGGGCCTACGTCTCTACATAAATACAGACATGCCTACGTGACAAGCAACAAAGTATACATTTAAAGAATCACTGAGTGACTTACTCTTTGAAGGAATTGTAATATTGGTTAATGAATTCGATCGCTTGAGGTAATACAACATCAGCAGGTACCCTCTCCTCCCTGGGACCCCTTATATAATTCTTAGGGTTCATGATTGATCCGTGACAAACTTTGGATTGGCAGCTGAGGTTCTGAAAAGTAAACAGTCATTCACATTTTGATTTTTTTTTTTTTTTATGCAGATACGCATTTACTGTATTTAACTGAAACCCGTTGCCTAAAATAAACTTTACTTTAAAAGGCAAAAGAAAAGCACGTCAGTATGTTTTGTTAAATGTACTAAAACAATTCTAGTAATAAATTTCAATTTACCTGCCACAGAAATTGTTACATTGCTCTATGGACAAGCGAGCTGCAGTGGTTATAAAGCTTGGAGTGTTACTTTAAATACAAAAAAACAGCTAAACATTTCTTTGGCAGACACAGAGCTAGTAAATACATTTAGCATACAACAGCAATTTTGTATACATATTATATTATTTTATACAGGACTATAGAAATATTAATGATGTACGCTATTTTTTTTTTTTTTATATATTTGTTCATGCTTTAATTAGATATCTCACTATAAGATGTTTTAGAGGCATCACAGTATCCCTTCTTTTACAATACTTCAAACAAAGCATGAAATATTTGCATTGAAGAAAAAATACCTATTTTGTTACCTTCAGTAGGTTAGGCAAATTCAGATTAATAACAATGGTAGCTTATATGTAGTTGTTTGTAAGGAGTCTAATGACTTTTCTTGGGAATATGGCTTTCTAAAAACACCACCAGAATGCAAAAATAGTGAATGTATAGCTACACATACAGTCAATTTATATGTACAATAGCCAGTTCTACATTCTTAAGACTGCTGTTGCACCCTGCAATGAAGTTCTGCTGTGTGGTCATTGTGCTGGTAGTACTCGGAGCCCTTGGTACCCTTCCACCAGCTGGTAGAATGCAGCTTAAAATTTGATCTACACCATTTACTGTAGAGTGTGAAAGAAAGGGAGGAGACAGGTGTTTAAAGTCCGTCTCCATAAATGCAGAAATGTGTTCCTTTACACCAGCAGTGGAACAAAGATGAAACCAATCTGGGCTTTATGGACAAAACTTAATTTAGCATTCATTTGTAGCACAAGTGCAAATATTGGCCTTGACTTAATATTTTTGGATAAGCTTTTCAATGTATTTAATATTATTGGACAAACTTTTACAGTGATTGTTTTCAATATGTGGAAATATCAAAAAATAAATAATATATAAAAAAATAACAAATATCAAAATATTATTAGTTTTTTTAAATTCATACTATTAAATCATTTGAAAAGTTTATCCAAAAAATAAGAAATCAAGGCCACTGTGGGAAGTTATAGGATTAATGTAATTATTGCTCACCTTTTTGGCATTGAGGTGTAGTGTGTCTTGTAAGATTTTTCCATTTTCATAGTTCTTTAGTTTCAAATATTTTGGACAGGAAATATTTTTATGAAGCAGTTTGAGGTTTTCTGGAGTATCCTTCACAATGAAAAGAATTAAAATATATTGAACAATCAAAAAATGATGATATGTATATTGCTGATTATTGTACAGCACATCGGTCTGTCTGTTTGTCTGATCTGTCTGTATATCTATTTGTCTACTGGTAGGAAGTCTGCCAAGAACAACATCTGACTATATGTCCATCCATCCTTCATTCCTTACATCTATCCCTCCATTTCTCATCAGCCTCTTGATCTTTCAAACATCTCAAGCAATTTATAAATTGATATAAATTATGGCAGTAATTAGTGATGCTGATCCTTACAGATGCCCAGTTTTATCACAAGTTTTTAAATGGTTTTCCATCATATTGTTGTCTGTATTACAGCTTGTCACTTGTATTTAACCACACACACAAAATCATAAATAATACAAAAAGTAATTCTTATCTGTTTGTTGATGCACATACCACTGTTTCAGATTTCAATCCAATTATATCATTTTGCTTCAAATTATTTTTGACCTCTTCATGTTTGCAGGAACTGAAAAAAAAAATAAGATATATATTTATAGCTATATAAATCATATTAAAATACTGCTCAATTTGAATTTAAATCACTCCCATTGGTCTGTTTGTGTTTTCTTTTTTCCAAATGATAGTTTTTTTAGGAGGTATTTAAGACTGTTATTTGAGCTTTTCTGGTGAACCCTTATCAGATTTACGAAGCTGCAACTTTTTTACGGTTCTCCAATAACTACCTTTTTTGTTCAAATAATTTTCAATAAACTGCTAGTTATAGGCTCTGTCTGGCTATGTATGCAGTGAAATCCTAGATCAAAGTTCTAAAAGCAGAGCTTATCAGCTGGAAAATCCAGCTAGTTTTCTTTGGTGAAGGTTCTAATTTAAGAACTTTGCATCACAGTCCACTTTTTTTTTCCTAGAACCACTTTTATTTACTGTTGAATTAAATCATAACATTGCACAATAAACAAAGCTCTACGTATGGCAATACACTCAATTCATTCAGTGATGCTAGAAGAAAATACTCAAAGCATTTACGAAACAAGTGCATGATTTCATATGTCACCATGCCAAACACAACACAACGTGACTGCAATCCAGAAGAACAGTGTTTTCAAACTAGCCAACCTCATTATGTATTATAGTAGTATGACCGTTACCTATCCTGAGCAGTTATACATTCCTCCATCACTTCAATTTCTTCAGTTGTGTCAGTAAAACACAGCAAAGCATCAATTCCAACTTATAACCACCATGAAATGTAATAAGAGACCTCTTTACTAATGCTACCGTTGGCATATATATGACTGTATCATACTACATTGATCACACTGGATACTCTTTTGTATATCTTCTATGGGGCTCTTATTAAGCCCTGTAGATGATGACGCACAAATTCGATGATCCATATATGAAAGGCTGACTGTAGGCAATGGAATTTACTGAGGATACAGCCACAGGGGGCACAGTTAGCCCAACCCTGATATGCTCCCCATGTATGTGCAGATCAGGGAGTGTTGGAAGAAATGTCTGAATTGATAATCTATGTGACACTGTATTAATGCACATGTGATGTCATCCTTCCTGTACAGTTCGGTTTGATGACTAACGTATGGAAAATTGAATTCAACAAAACTATTGTTGCTTGACCACAATAGTCACAAAAATATATTATTGTTTAATAAATGTTACACAAGAATCAATAACATACATCTATATATATAATATAAATAAATGAATCTGATAAAAATGTTTTAGAGTTTTGGTATTTAAACAGAGAGAGAGCTATTGAGCCCAAAAAGGTAAACAAAACATGGTATGTACTAATAAAATGCAAGAACAAAGACTTTTAAGGATTATTTACTAAACACTGAATTGCAGAGATTTAAAAAGCAAATTGCAAAATTAGGATAAAACTGCCAAGCTGTGTCTATTTTTTTAAACCTGCACCTGCACAAAATTCAGTGTTAAGTGTAGATAATCTAAATCGATTTTTTGAGTTAACCTTGATCCTATACCAGTCCTACCCCTAAATTAACACCAACCCTATCCCTAACCCTAATGCTTACACTAACCACACAGCAGCCTACCCTAGTCTTACCTGTACACTATCCCTAACCTTAACCCTGCATTAATAGTAAGCCAGCATTAACCCTTTACTAACCCTAAACCTGCCCTAACACTAACCCTACCTAACCATAACTTTAACCCTAGCCCTAACTCAGTACTGACATCAGCACAGGGATATCCAAACTCACACAGTACAGGGCACTCTGTGAGCACTCTCTGCTCTGTGACTGCAGCACTCTCTGCTCTGTAACTGTCCCTGTTCTGCTTCTGCATAGAATGCTGTCTATGCCAATCACACGGGGATAGTGCTTGATAGCTAATTTAAATGGGTTTAGTGGGCTATATGCAGTGCTCACTTTGAGCGTGGCATACAGCTCATTTGTCACTTTAGAGCCACTAACAGGGAGGGGCCCCTAGGTATCAAATGATACTTAAGTCACCCTGGATTGAGCAGGGATCTAACACTGCTCACACCAAAACTGCAGGATGTTTCGTGCACGTCTAACGGTGTTAATGTCCACTATTTTTAGTACAGCATAAAATGTCCTAACATCCTTAATGGATTATAGCTCTATCACCTTCTGTATCCTATCCTCAAACATTATTGAGTTGAATTATTGGATGTTTTGTAGGAAGGACTGCAGCATGAAAGAACAGAATGTATTCAAGATACCACTTTCTAGAGCTCAGTCATATTGTAGCATTTCATAGTGGAAAGCTACTATTGTTTTTCTTAAAATGTCCTGGAAATCCGTTCAGTACTGGCAGGAAATTATCAAACCTGTCACTTCAAACAACAGCTGGGAAAGTGGCACTAGAATTAAATAAAAGGCTACTAGTGTAAAACAAGTCATTTATAAATAATATTAACCCTCTGTATTCAGCATCTCCCAAATTATACCAATGGCGAGCAGTTTACTATTTATGATGCTTTTAATGCATAAGGATCTTGAGAATTCTTCAAGAAACGCTAAATAAAATATGACGTTTTAACACTATATCAAACATTTTCTTTTAACTGATTGTGACTTATGATCAGCAGCTAACAAAGACGTGAAGGAACTTCATTGACTTGAGTCTTTTAATTTTCTCTACCTATCGTGAATCACTAAACTTGCATCTTGGAATTTATATGACATGTATAGAAAATAGAAACATGCTTGGAAGGGTGAACATTTTTACATAGCATTCGGTGAATATATTAAACTAGAATAACTTATTTAGTATTTGTATGTTTACACTTTTTATTGTAGTGTGTTTTCATTTTAGTAATGTTTAGAAAGTTTACCGCACATATCTCTTAGAGATGACCAAAAAGGTTGGTGTGTGATGTTTTCTTCCTAACCACACAACATATACATATGCTATAATATTCATTGATACCTTTGTTTGTCTTATGTCACATAATTAAAGAGTTACTCCAAGCACCATGACCACTCCAGTGCTTTGGTCGTGGAGTCTGTTTGTTCACTGTTACATTATGAAACGCTTCACATACAGGGTTTAACTCCTTTGATACTGCAGGTGTATTTCCACCTTCAGCAGCATTATTTGGGCATGGAACACTCAACCAATGAATGACTGACGGGATTGCCATCGGAAGACGGCCTGTGTCTGGTAGTAGCCCAGGTAAAAGGGCAAACCATGGCAAAACGGGAACTATTGCATTGCAGGGAACAGCAACAGGGTGCTCCTCACAAAATAACCATTACAGCAGGCTGTAAGTTAAAGTTTTGTGTAAGGCAGGGAATATGAGAGCCCTGAGAATGGCCAGAAGCACAGAGAAATCTTAATTTGAAAGAATATGAACACTCTAAGAGATAAAGAAACCCCAGACGAAACGATTGTTTCGGACTTTGGACTTTGGGCCTTATTAGTGGTGTCAAGGTGTAGCTAATATCCATCTAGGTACATTGAGTACTGGGTTCACATTTGGCTCTGAAATGTCCGTGCTAACTGTGCCTAGAGAGGTATCAGCTACACCCTGCTGATGATGCCCAAAAGAAGACCGAAACGACTGTGGCTGCTGTGTCTTTGGTGCAGAAGGCCATTTCCAGCAATTCAGATCTGGACTGCTCTTATTTTTGAGACCTGAGATGGGACTAACCGACTGACAAGCTTTTGAGGTTTCTCTGAGCTATTACCTGTTCCCAAAACTTTTATGGTCTTTATTTTTGCTGTAAGGTTTGCATAAACCAACTATGCTAAGTGTTCTATTCATACTTAAGTAAAGGGTGAAAAGTCACAACAATTCACACAGTGAAAAACACTGCAGGTTATAGGGAAAATCTTGAACTCAGGGAAAGCTAGAAAAACTTGCCTGTTGACAGCCTAACCACAGACAACCGCTTCAATGGATGACAGTGCGTCTAGATACGGTCATGGGAGTGTCTACTTTATGATAGCTGGGCATGACATGCAATGAAACAATGACTGTATTTACAAAGATCAATATTGGTTTTCTATTCTTTTATTTAAGAGACAAATATAATTTCTAACTTTTCTGCAAGTACATTGATTGAGTAGTATGTGGTGAGGGGGGCAAAGGGTAAAATTCCATCTGTTGTAGAACTACAGCTTTCATGATGCCCTATAGCTACAAAAGGTGATAATCTAAATTTTGTCCAACATAAGTCTGCAGCATCACACACAATTTAGGAAGCAAACAATTTTAACGAAAAAGTATTAAAAATAATATCTTATGTAGATATTGTACCTCCATCGAGCAAACTCTGAGCCCTATATCTGTTTAGCAAAAGATGAGGGTAAATTGAAAGAACTTTGTGAAATAATTCTAACATTTGTTTAAAAACCTAATTTTAAAATAATTTAAACAATACCAAAATGTTTGCATGTATCAAATTTTACCTGGATTAAATGCAAGCTGGGATAAAATGACTTCAATATCTAAATATGGTCTATTCCAAAACACTAAATAACTATAGTGCCTTTGTCGAAATAAAGCAGTGAGGATCTTTTCACCCTAAATATCTCTAGACTACATTTGACATGTATGCAGCCTGCCTTAGAGCTGGATGTGCGTCTTGGGAACTGCAGTTAAAGAATTTCTAGGAAGCCAAAGTTATTCATTGACTCCTTGCCAGATGGGGCAAGCAGGTGCCACTGAGACAGTAACGGTATCAAGAAGCACATTCCATAAAATATATGAGGATATCAAATGGATCAGGGTCAGACACCAGTTATAAAATGTTAATTTTCATCAACTGTTGCCAACCTTCAATACAGCACCAGATCCGTGGAGGTTGGTTGGTATTAAGTAGAGGTAATTAACTTAACGTGATGTTTCGATAAAAAGAAAAATAATAAGTATTAATAACAACCTTGGTGTGATTTGAAGATGGAAGGTGGACTATCAAATGGTATAATGAGAGCATAACATGCCACTAAAATATAGTATATGCAGGAGTAACCTTTCAGTGGAAGTGGTAAAGGATATGTTGTTCCGAAAATACCATTCAACAGAACATATGAGCAAAGTAACAATGGCATTCCTAATGGGAAGACTAGACTGGCCATTTTTTTTAATTTGACTTCATAATCTATCGTAAACTTGCTTAGTTTTTTTTTTTTACAAGGACCTGTAAGGGTGTTATATACTGATGCAGGATATATTATTTAGAAGCATCCATAGTTAAAGGAATAATGTATTTGCAGTATATGCTATTCTATACTATACTATACTACACTATACGTAAAATAACATAAAATAACAGAATATGCATAAAATAACAGAATTAATAACTAATCCAAATGTTTTCATAAAGAAGTTTATGATTTTTTTTTTTATTTCCAGTAGACCCCCACCAATAAATGCACCCACGTGGATTCCTATAAGTAATGGAATTACTGCATTATACATATAGCATGTGTTACCTTTGCGTTATCCCCATGGTCAGGTTATTGTTATTGTTTATGTCCATAACATCGTAAGACGTTTTGCCATTGATTACTGAAGATTTTGTGAACAGCTTCCATGGGCACATCATTTTTCAAGAAATAATTATTTTCTCAGACTGGAGGTGCAAAAAAGTCGTCTTTGGGCCAGCCTGCTGGATAAAAATAGATGTTGGTTGAAAAAAAAAAATAATAATAACAATCTTTAACAAGCTTTAAAAAAATAAAAAAAAAGGAAGACAACAACGCCCGCTTTAAATGAATTCAGGAAAAGGTTGCTTTCTCACACTTCTAGACGAGAAACATCCTCTGTTGACTCAAAATAAAATGACCTTCTATGATACGATTACATTGAACTATGATGATCACAATCATTTGTAGTGTTTCCTAAAATGTTTCACCTTCAATGAGGATCAGCATTCAGTAACGAATATTTTGCTTTGTTTCAATGAAATATTTATATGACTCAACGCAGAATTGCCAGTGTCTTAAGCATATAAATACCTGTGAGTTTATTCATTATGCAAATAATTGAATTGACAGGCAAATTACTTGCTAAATTTAAGTTAAACTTTCAGGTTTGAAAGTATATATCTAAGAGCCCCTAGACCGGTGGTAGGCAGCCTTTTGCTCTCCAGATGTTTTGGACTACACTTCCCATGCTTTACCAACATTATGGATGTAAGAGTATTATGAGAGATGTAGTCAACGACATGTGGAGTGCCAAAGGGTGCATACCTCTGCCCTAGACCAACCTTCAGCATTTAACAACCTCAGATAGATAATGACAATCAGACTATCGAGACTCATTGCTTAGACCGGCCACACTGATTCCACAAAGGTACTAAATATGGTCCATTCCAAAACACTAAATAACTATAGTGCCCTAGTGATGGTCTCTGTCACTTGTCCTGTTCATCACCTAGTCACTTCACCCAGTCTAGAACTCTGGAGGTAAAACTTGGCCATGTTTCTAGAGAACTGAAGAAACTATACCAGCATCTGAAGAACCAACTAGGTATTGTGAAACTCATTACTATATACAAGAGCAAGCTACTTTATCTTTAGTTCCCTACCCACTTATCATCTCTTATGCAGGAAGTGAATATTTATCCGCCAATCTAGGTTCTTCCAATGTTTTGAAATGATGTACTGCATGTATTATATAAAACTCTGTTAATTAGAGGTTTGGGATTTGTAGTTATTTGCCAGCTTTCTCTGGAAAGCAATACACAAAAAACACAAACAGGGATTTTCATTAACGCTCTATGTAGCATTTTCATGAATGAAACTACTCGGAGCCATGCACGTTTGTCTTCTTTGAAAGCTATGCAGAAGCTCATGAAAGTCTTTCCCTAACTTTACGACGTGTACAAGATGTACCCGCACAAACTTTACATGACCATTAATGATCATTACAAGATAGCAAATTGCTGCTGAGTTTATATTCTATTATAGAAAAGAGTGGGTAAGAAAAGGGGAACTTATTACATTATAAACTATACAAGTGTCATATGTGGTTATGATGCCTGGAACAACCCATTAAGAAGCTTCTGACATTCTATGTAATAAGACACACTAAAATTTAATATTACCATGTCAAGTCAAATGATGTAAATTCAATTATTGTAGCTTGATATAAGTAAACTTGCATTTTGTTTAAAAAAAAAAAAGAAAAGAAACTTAATTGCTACACCTGTATACATGTATACAGACTTTACTAGGTTTACTTTAGCATGTTTTACAAAATGAAATATAAAAAAAACCCAATATATGTAACCCCACTTACTTCATCTCTGTTCCACCACTGGTCCCCACCTGGATGAAATTTGTATATGTCAGGATGGGTTCTAGTCTGTCTCTCTGCCTCATGAGAGAGGACAGTAAATTTAAGGCACTCCTTCCACCTCCCCCCCCCGAACAGGGGAGGAGGTAAGGAGTCATCTATTTGCATTTTAATGGCATTTTTGGAATCTGCAAATCCACAAATACCGGCAGAGTCAATACAAATACCCATAATCATTTTTAATTCCGGTTTTGTTAATAAACACAGCTACGATAAAGTGTTTACTAATATACCTTCAGAATAACTATTTTTTAAGTAGTACTTTAGTCATTTGCATTGTTCGGTTTATGCTTTAATTGCAGTGGGATAAAAACAGGATTGGTGAGATTTACGTTAACAACCAATAGTTTACTTTAACCTACAAAGTGTATCACTGCAAGTAAACTGTAATGTGATATCAGTCATCACTAAATCTCAGTTTCTTTTTCTACTATATGTATTTTATTGAATCAAAAGTTAAAGTAACATACTTCAGATTTTTCTTTTTTTAAAGCTACATTTAGCAGTTTTCCAAAAAAAAAAAACTATTAACAAAGTATTCTAAACAAAACATCCATTAGTTGTTATTTTCGTTATTTCAATGTGCAAATACCACTGTTTGGGGAAGATGTATTCAGGGTTGGGTTTTTATCATAAGTAAGCAGCTGGAGGGTGTACAAATAGTTTCTATTTTTACGAGACTATGTGTGAGAAAATAATTAAGCTATTTTATTTTTATATTTCCTGTAAAGACTGTGATTCTTTAATTTAAAGGTCAGAGCAATGTCGCTCAAGCCTCTTCTAAACCGTTAATTCAATATTTTTTTTCAGCCAATGTCATGTAAAGTCACCCTTCTAAGTATTCTATTGTTAATAATTTCCTTTATAATATGATTAAACTGTCCAACTAGGCTGTCAGTTGACTTGGGTATTAGTTTTTGGACAAACACATATTAGTCCAAATTTCAAAATTACAACAAAATTAGTTGGATAAAATGTCATCCTGAAATTCATTCTTCATGCATTCGTTTAGTTTATTACAAGGAGGGAGCTAAGAGCTTGCGACTTCCTTTCAGTAATATTTAAAAATAGAAGCAGAGGGGAGCTGTGCTCCTTGACACTTCCTAAATCCCCCCCCATACGGGCCTCACCCTGTGGGGGTCCATATGACTCTGATATCAGTATGTGGGAGGTTAAATCCTCCCTCCTGCCTCTACCTGCCTTGCCGTGAGTAGGGGCAGCTCTACTAAACAGTGAACCAGTGGCTGCTCATTTCCATAATAAAACACTAGCGACTGGGCAGCAATAGCTGCCCAGTCACTAATCCAATGAAGGGGGACCTCTGTGCCCCCATAGTGGGGGGACATATTTAAATAATTAACTGGCCGAGACTTTTCTTATAACAGTGAGCAGCCACTGGCTGCTCACTGTTTAGTAAACCTGCCCCTATTTGTGCCAGGTAGGGGCAGGAGGGAGGATTTAAACTCCCTCATTTACTAATACTAAGTATTTCTTACTTAGTATTAGTAAAGTTGTCTGAAAGACCAAAATTAAGATACGGAAGGGCTTTTCGTAATTTTGGTCTTTCAGCTTTTTAGTAGATATCTCCCTAATACTTGTAGTATTGCCATAGGAGTACCAAAAATGAGCTATCTACTAAACAGCTGCATAAATTGGTACCCTCAAATATGGCAATCCCACAAGGATACAAATATAGGAAGTTATCTACTAAACAGCTTTGAGATGCAGCCACGGCCCCCAACATGGATTGGAATCTCATACGTGAGAATTTAAATAATGGCAAAATTTTGTCTTAAAAAGAATGAAACTAAGTTCAGGCGAAACTAAATTATTTGGAATCTCATTTGTGAGAATTTAAATAATGGATAAATTTTGTCTTAAAATGAATGAAACTCAGTTCAGGCGCAACTAAATTATTTGTCGTCCGAATGTATTTCAAGTGTATTCAAAGCCTAGCTAACAGCGAAACAGTTCTCATCTTTTGACAGTTCATTATACCTGCTTTGTTACATTCCAAAAATAAACCAGAAAGACATGCCTCTGGGTATAAGTATCTTCATTGTATTTTGAAGACCTTGACAATCTGCAGACTCACCCGTTAGCAGAAGTTCCAAAACCATCAAAGAATTCTGTCAGCCGCAATGTTTCTTTGCCGTGCAATAAGCTGTTAAAATAATTACGTCTGTAGCTAAGTGCTCGTATACTAGTTTTATTTGGAAATCTTCAGGATGAGAAAACTTCCTTCTCTGTGTCATCACTAACCCTAATTTACATTGGGAGTTTCCATATCTCCGCTTATTGAAGGAAATGCATGAATTGGCTGATAGAGAATTCTAGCCTCTTTCTCTAGTGTTCTGAACATGTTACACAGGTGAGACTGTATAAACGCAGTTTTGTTTCTTTTTGGTCCTTATCATTCGATCATCAGAACAAATGGAATGCTATTCTAGCTCCTAGGTTTTGGCTTTGATACTGTACATGTGCGGGAAATAAAATAAATACATAATTAAAATAAAAGACTGTCTTTTGCTAACTCGACACACAGTGCCTAAGATTAGCTTGTTTGCTTTAACCACAGTCCATATGTTAAGCACGGTGTACATACTTTTGTTTCCTTCAATTTACTTTAAAATGAGGCATAATAATCTCATATGTGTCAGGCTGTACTACTTACCATGTGACCTGTGTTTTATATCCATGACTGTACCCTGAGTATACTAGTACCTAACGTCTGTGCTTTTCTGTCACAAACGTTTAAATGTGGGATTCTTCTACATACCTCAATAAAAAGTATGATTGGAAAAAGAAAGTAAGAAAGAAAATAAAAGCTACAAAAATGTTTTAGAAATGTGTACTGTGTGCGTGTATTTCCAAAAAAACAATACAAATGTGCTGAAATATCACTTTTATCTCTTGAAGTATGTAATGGGTAACATATCTTTCCCTGAATATTTAAAAAATTGCTGCAATGTGAATAATTTGTTTTTAAATCCTAAAAATAAGTGTTTTCACAAAATAACTGGATTGCTGATATTTTAAATACTATTTTATTAATGCAATGCATTTTTCATAAGCCATAGAAGAACTTTTTGTTGGTAAGTCTTCCAAGGAGCACTTTCTTAACAGATATAGCGAGTTCCTATCAATGTGCGTATGTGCAGTTGGCTGAAAGCCAGACACGCATTTTAAACATGTCTTATATTTCTGTATCTAAAGTACACACTTGTTAATTTTATATTGAGGTTCATAGTTCTCTGTTGTTTCAGTTTGAATGTCAAGTTAGCTGGTGACTGTTTTGATAGAAAATATAGTGCACGTTTTGCATTAATAATTACCTTTTTTTTTTTTTTTTTAAATCAGGAATGCCCAGGAAGTATATTCTCAATTCTTGCAGAACTTCAGATGCCATGATGCTTTGCTAACCTTACAGCTTTTAAAGCATCAACGTAGTTGTGTCTATGGACCTGAGGATCTACTTTATGGCTTCCCATCTGCTAAATGGTAAATTCTGTACATGTGGAATATTTGAGTTGTGGATTGGACTGGACTTTCAGGTTGTAGATGATTGATTTCAACGTAATGTACTATTTTAAACTAAGTGTTAACAAGTATGTGAATGTGTAATTATTCTAAGACATTTAGAAATGCCTTTGAGCATCTCCCTTTTCCTTTTCATTATTCTAAAGTTATCTTAGTTATTTCCCTCGTTAGGGGGCTTTATTGGATGTAGCCCCATATTCTACTTCAGACACAAATTTATATGCCCTTTAAACGCCCTCCCCCATACCCCATTGTTTTAAGGGCTGTGCTACCTATCTGTGAGCTGTAGCAGCACCTGTCAATGATCTACAATTAAACCAACACATTTTAATGACTTTTAAAGAAAAGATTGGGGCATAGCCGAGCTGACATTATGATGTATAGGTGCACACTAGCACACATTAGCAAGCCTGTCTGGCTGCAAGAGAGGGCAATGACCAGGCAAGGAATATATATATATGGTGTATCCACTTACAACGTTAATCACTAATGTCTGGGATGACAAGAGGGAGAGTGTGTTTATGAGTGAAGTAGTGCGATTATGTGTGCATGTGTTTACAAAGGACAGAAAGAGAGAATGAGATATGCATGAAGATGGTTGAATGGAACACAACAATATAAAAAAACCTTTTGAGAACAGTGGGAGTAATGAAAAAGGAGTTCACAGGAAACTGAAATGAGAAGAAAATGAGGATAAGAGCTTAGATGGAAATAGAAAAGGGTAAACAGGAATGAAAGAGAGGTGAAAGAATGTGGAAGAAGGCAGGAGAATGACACAGAAAAAGCACAAGAACAAAAAGTATGAGAAAAATAAAAAAGATGTGGTTAATGTGATGGAGAAGATGGACATGGAGCATGAAAGGTAAGTGTTGATAGCAACTGGAAAAGAGGGTAGAAAACATGGAAGAGAGCTGGAGAGAACATGGAAGAGAGCTGGAGAGAACATGGAAGATAGCTGGAGAGAACATGGAAGATAGCTGGAGTGAGGAAGCTAAATGAGGGACAACGGCAATAGGAGAAATTAAAAGAACATGGAGAAACAAAGGGGAAAATGAAAACTTTAAAAATCACTGATTACTTGTATGGATTTATTTTTTTTATAAATTCTTCCTTCTTCTTTTAAATGTATATTAAAGATTTAGGATAATCCAGTTCAGGCAAAGCCAGCCCAAACATTGAAATTGAAGGGGTAAAATTGCATGGTTATATGCATTTTCAATAAAATTGTTTAAAGGACGTTAACACATTATCTTAGTGGATTTACCTGTGACTGCGCTGTCACTCTTAGGAGAACCAAAATATAAAGCATTGATACATATTATATACTATATATTAACAATGAAATATCACACATTTTCCACAGTAGACGAGTCCTATAAGCTTTTGTATTTTTTATGATGTTTATGGTATTTGAGTCATGGTAGGATGAATTTCTTAAAACACCATTTCGGAAGGACATATAGAATATAATATAGAATATCAAGTATGAATATGAAAAAAATGTACAGAAGTAAAAAAAATAGAAAAAATAATAATAATTTTGAATTCGCCATTAAGAACATTGAAAATTCCTCAAAAGGCAGTATAATTGAATGTTTCTATTAGCCTTACCTGTCTGACTATCTCTGTTTCAATCTGCTTTTTCACAGGTCAGATATATCAGACTGTGAGGACAGTGGCAGCCTTTTATATAGCTTCTCCACAGTGTTCACATTACAGACTATGCAAATCAGGTTAATAGAAAGGAGGGAACTTGATTGGAAACGTCCTTTGTACAGTGATGTGATGTAACATTTTGCTTTGCATGAATCAAATGTTTTCATTTTCAGTTTTGTGTTTTTGTTTCTCTTTTTTAGAAAGTTGGGAAATATTGGAGATTAATGTTAAAAATAAAATTTGTGGAAAGCTTACTTATAAAAGCATTCATTAGTGATGCCAAAATGCCTCACTGCCTCCTAAAATGATCTTCTGCAATAGGCTCTCATACCTTATGTTACTAACCTGTTTTGAATTTTATTTTAATTTTTGGGGGGGGTGTAGTATTTGTTTTTGTTTTTGTTTTAATGTTGGTTGTTTTTTTTCCTTTAACTCTTTTTTCACTTCATAATGATGTTTGAAGCTTTATGTCTGGAAAATAAACATAGTCACAAATATCCCCTCTGCAATAAGTGTTTTGAATTAAGAGCAGAAGTCGGTGAAAATGTTTCTTTAGGTTGTGTTATCAATTGATGTGTTCACATGTCAAAATGTGAAGTTAGATAGCAAATAGTTGGAACTTTGATGGTCATTTCAAAAAAACTTAGATACTTTCTGGAGATTTTCCAGTCAAAGTATCTTGGTTCAAACACTGACAAAGGCGCTTTACAAGACAAACACTATGAGCACCATTATGGATTATTGCAGGGTAGATGTGACGTTAGGTGTTGTTGAGAACAGAAACTAGCCTCCTGCCTCAGGACTATGGCCCATATGTTAGACTTTGGTTCAGGACTGTGGAAAGGCTTTGTTCGTGCCTTTTCCCTTGTCTGGTTCGGTGTATGGGATCCACCAAATGGATTAGACTTAGGCTGATTGTATGCCGAACCGACTGCCGAACAGCGAGACCACCAAGGGAAATCGTGTACTGCTTGTTGACTCTTTTGACCTGTATCAACACCTTAACTGCAAAGTTCTAAGCGGTCGGTTATGTGGCCACCATTCGTATGGACGAACACGTGGCGGCTGCCATCTGTAGCACTGAAATCATACAGAGGTATTTGGTCATTGAGTGTATTGAACTATAATCGGGCACTCAACGGCGCGAACACCGCTGGGACTTCCACCTTCAGTTAAGTATGGGAAAATATGTGCGAATGGAACAGCGTTTGGTGGAAGCAAACTCCTGAAACAGGGGCACATGACAAGCTCACATACGAACTGTTGTTATCGTTATTTTAATGTGTTTCGTACTCCCAAAAGAGACTGACCACTCAGCCTGAATTCATGGAACTCTTTTGGGCAGGCGCCTCATGTGCCGTTGGTCTAAACTATACCCCAATGGCGTTTCGGCTGCATTCATAGGATCTGAGTGCTTTCAGGATATATTGGGCGCTCAGATCCAGGCTTTCTGGGGATATAGGACTTGAAGGGGTACCTTATTGTTGGGGTGTTATTGATATGTATGGCCTGGACCTGAGAGTTAATGTCATTAAGTTGTGTACTTTGTCACAATCTCCTGTCAGGTCCAGTGGGGAATGCCCCTGGAATATATATTAGGAACCCCCTTGCATAGTGACATGCATATGAGGCCAGTTGTGGCTGCCAATAAATCAGTTCTCCTTCACCCTCAACATAGAGCCTCATCTCATGCTGGGAGGGAATAGCTATATTTGCTACTCTGGGGATTGCTATAAGCACTATACTCCCTTGGATTATAATCACTTCTCTTTTAAGAGCATACTGCTACACTCTCTTGGAGAAGAGGTTATCTCACTGGAAGCTGGATCCCTGACTTGGATCCAGGGTGGGTGGAGGACAGCTGGCCACGGGGACTGCAGTGGTTATGGTGTCGAGTGGAGTGCTTGGAAGTACTCGGAGTTACTAGGAAGCATCAGTTGGCGGAGGCACCCAGTTGGGGTGCCAAGCAGTCCGCCACAGGTGTCTTTGGGCATTGTCCTTTGTTTTTTTTCCAACCATTATGATGTTGTTTTACAAAAACAGGGCTCTCTCGGCAGCTACTTAGATAATGCAGATAATTCACTTCTGAATTGTGCATCTAAAGCCCTCAAACCTTGGACAACAATTATAGGTCGCATGGGCCAGTGGACAGATCCATTTTTTTTCACGTTACCAACCAGTATGTTAAGTAAACATAATTTATGATTCATTAAGCTCCAGTCACCCAGGCCTAGACCAGACATAAGGCAAATGCCTGGTGGGCCACGATTGCCAAGGGCAGAAGCCAATAAGAAAAGGTCAAATAATTTCCCTTGTCGACCCATGCAGGTGACCAATAATCTAAAAAGGGAGCTCTGTCCACTCAAGGGTTGGTGGGGAGATTCCCTAAAAGTTTCCATGTTGTAAATTTCCTGCAAACTATGATAGTATCAGTATATTGCCAGGGTAACCCAAGGGCAGGGGCGGACTGACCGGTCGTGCACTTCGGACATGGTCCGAGGGCCCGGCCGGGAGGGGGGCCCACCGCCAGGGCCGCCATCAGGGGGCCCGGCGGCAGGGCAGGATTGGGGGTGGCATCTGGGGACTGCGGAAGAAGGTGCCACCAGGTGGCTGGTCCGGTGGCACACTCTAAGGGGTCCAGCCGCGTTTCACGCTGGAGCCTCCCTCATGCTCCCTTGCGGTTCCCACAATTCTCAGCACAGGATGTGGGAACCGCAAGGGAGCATGAGGGAGAAACATGCTCCTCCCTCCTTCCGTCCTCAGCGTTAGTGACAGGACAGGAGTGCCGCCGGACCGGCGAGGCTGCCACCCGGCCCGGCGGCTCCAGCCTGGAAAGCGGCCGACCCCCCTGACTTCTGTCGGTAAATGGGAGGGGGGAGAGAGAGAGAGACACAGAGAGAGGAGGGAGAGACAGAGGGGGAGAGAGATTGACACAGAAAGAGGAGGGAGAGACAGAGGGGGACAGAGAGTGACATAGAGAGAGGAGGGAGAAAGAGACAGAGTGGGAGAGAGAGTGACACAGAGAGAGGAGGGAGAAAGAGACAGAGGGGGAGAGTGGCCTAGAGAAGAGGAGAAAAAGACAGAGGGAGAGTGGCTTACAAGAGAGAGGAGGAGAAAGAGACAGAGAGGAGGAGAAAGTAGCGAAACTAGAAGAGAGAGGAGGAGAAAGAGACAGAGGGAGAGGGTGGCCTAGAGAAAGGAGGGAGAAGAGAGAGAGAGAGAGAGGGAAGAGAGAGTGACACAGAGAGGAGGGAGAAAGAGACAGAGGGGGAGAGAGAGTGACACAGAGAGAGGAGGGAGAAAGAGACAGAGGGGGAGAGAGGGTGACACAGAGAAAGGAGGGAGAAAGAGAGAGGGGGAAGAGAGAGTGACACAGAGAGAGGAGGGAGAAAGAGACAGAGGGGGAGAGAGAGCGACACAGAGAGAGGAGGGAAAAAGAGACAGAGGGGGAGAGAGAGTGACACAGAGAGAGGAGGGAGAAAGAGACAGAGGGGGAGAGAGAGTGACACAGAGAGAGGAGGGAGAAAGAGACAGAGGGGGAGAGATAGGGACACAGAGAGAGGAGGGATAAAGAAACAGAGAGGGAGAGAGAGTGACACAGAGAAATGAGGGAGAAAGAGACAGGGGGAGAGAGAGTGACACAGAGAGAGGAGGGAGAAAGAGACAGAGGGGGAGAGAGAGTGACACAGAGAAAGGAGGGAGAAAGAGACAGAGGGGGAGACAAAAAGGCACACAGAGGGGCTGTATATATCACTGGTGGATCACCCCATCCCCCGGCCGATCTCTCTCCCCGGTCTGCAGGCACCGTGCGGGCAGCCGACAGGGGAGGGAGGAAGAGAGGACCCGGGAGCTCAGCCTGCAGCTCCTCTGGTTCCTTCTCGCGCGAGCACAGAGCGTTGCCGCGATTACCACGGCAACGCTTCGGCTCTTGCGAGAGTGACCTCTAGCCCTGGAGCTATCGGCTAAAGTTCACTCTCAACACTGCGACCACCAGGGATTCCTGGTGGTCGCAGTAGTGAGAGTGAACTCTAGCGCAATACACTCACTGCCCCCACACACACACACCCTACTACTAATTACTAATTTGGATGGGGGCAGGGGTAGGTAGAAAAATAATTGGAAGGGTTAGGGGGGCTACTAATAAGGATAGGGGGAGAGGGGTAGGTAGAAAAATAATTGAAAGGGTTTAGGGGGGTTACTAATATGGATGGGAGGAGGGGAAAGGTAGAACAATAATTGGAAGGGGTTATGGGGAGTACTAATATGAATGGAAATGGTAGGGTGGGTTCTAATATGCATGGAACGGGTTAGGGGGTACTAATATGCATGGAAGGGGTAGGGGGGTTTAATATACATGGAAGGGATAGGTGGGGTTCTTATGTGAATGGAAGGGGTAGGGGTGGTTCTAATATTCATGGAAGGGGTAGGTGGGGTTCTTATGTGAATGGAAGGGGTAGGTGTGGTTCTAATATTCATGGAAGGGGTAGGTGGGGTTCTAATATAAATGGAAGGGGTAGAGACGGGTAGTAAAATGCACTTCTGAAAGTGTCACTGAATGGCAGTTAGGAAGTGTTTTATTGCTCCCTGCTCGCACTCTCCTATTTCGTCATTTTGACGAAATAGGGAGCGCGGCATCAGGAGGTTCCCGACGCTGTATCCGGGTAAGTAAAATCCCTTCCCTGTAGTGACCCTTTAATGTTATTATTTTATCATTTATATAGTGCCAGCAAATTCCGTAGCCCTGTACAATGGGATAAACAACTCCTAGTTTACAAAATAAGAATATACCCGGCGAGTAAAAATGCTATCCCCTCAGATTTTGGGGGGTTCCTACACCCATGAGAGAGGGGCACATTCGCTCCATAAGACGCACAGACATTTCCCCTCACTTTTGAGGAGGAAAAAAGTGCATCTTATAGAGCGAAAAATACAGTAAATTTCATAATGTTATAATATGTCTACAACAAGCAGTAGAGGATTGTATATCATAATTCTGTTTATCCATTGTACACCCATCACATTTTTGTAAATATTTTATTATAACTTTTTATGTGACAACACTAAAGAAATGACACTCTGCTACAATGTAAAGTAGTAAGTGTACAGCCTGTATAACAGTGTAAATTTGCTGTCCCCTCAAAATAACTCAACACACAACCTTTAATGTCTAAACCGTTGGTAACAAAAGTGAGTACACCCCTAGGGGGAAATGTCTAAATTGGGCCAAATTAGACATTTCCCCTCCCAATGTCATGTGACTTGTTAGTGTTACAAGGTCTCAGGTGTGAATGGGGAGCAGGTGTGTTAAATTTAGTGTTATCGCTCTCACACTCTCTCATACTGGTCACTGGAAGTTCAACATGGAACTGTGAGTACTGTATATATAATGAAAGCACCATTACAGGTCAGAGGACACAGATACGATTCTTGTTGTGACAGCAAGCAATATATATATATATATATATATATATATATATTACTTGAATCTGATTACTACATTCACAGTATCTTTTGTTAGTCAGTATTGCCATTAAATTATATCTTTATGCAACGTGTAGCTTCTGCTGACTATGGATAAAAGTAGATATAAAACAACAAAATAATGGGTAATAATAATCAATTATTAAAATAAACAATACTGGCTGACACCCTGCTAAATACTGTATGCCACCTTTGCTAAACTTATGTTTGCATCAATAAAAAATGATTGACACAAAACAAAATAAAAAAAAATACCAGAATAACTAAAGTCTGAATAGTGGGGAAAAAAATTCCTCCTTGTCAATGATCTATTTTAACTAAGCATCAGCTAGTAAGGTAATACATTTGTTTTTTTAACTCCTTCGCAGTATTATCATTTGTCTAATGCAGGGCCGGACTGGGGAAAAAATTAGGCCCGGGCATTTTTCAATCAGAGCGGCCCCCTAAGAAGGGGGCGGGGCCAGAGAGGGTGTGTTTTGTCATCACTAATGACAAGCACGCCTCCTCTCAAAGTGAGCATGTTGGTTCAATGCGCAGAGCTGCGCTGAAGAGCTCTGGCATTAGAAAAAGGCCCTGTATTTGTTCTGCGCAGCGCAAGCAAATTTAATAACATGCTTGCGCTGTGTTTGCTTTTAAATTGTCTCTGGTGTCTCCATAAGTGGGATACCAGAGGACAAAAGGGCCAGGAAAGTGTATGGTGCATGTGTTTGGAGCCTGCTTGTGGGATTGCGTGTGTGTAGAGTGTGGTGTGGTATTGTGTAAATAGGTCAATTTCATATGTGTTTGTGGTGTAATATGTGTGGCATGGGGCTGTAGAGAGTGTGTGTATAGGTGGCATAGTGTTATAGGGGATGTAGCGAATGTGTGCATACGGGCTGTAGTGTGTGTGTATAGGTGACGTAGTGTGTGTAGGGGTTGTAGAGAGGGTGTGTTTAGAGAATGTTGTATGTGTTTGCTGACAAGGAATGTAGTGTGTGTGTAGGTGGTGCAGTGTGTGTGTAGGAGATCTAGTGTGTAAAGGACCCAGAGTGTGTATAGGAGATGTGTGTGTGTGTGTGTGTGTGTGTATAGAGGATTAAGAGTGCATATAAGGTAAGGGATCTAGCGTGTATCTGGAGCGTAATGTATGTAGTGCTGTAGTGTGTGTGTGTGTGTGTGTATATATATATATATATACATACATATATATATTTGGACGTATTGTATGTGTGAGGGGCGCAGTGTGTGTGTATGTAAGAGGGGTGCTGTGTGTGAGGGTGTTTTTATCTGCCGTCACATTCTAATTTTCTTTGTCTGTTAACTCACTGAGGGTTATTTTATATATTATATATATATATATCTGTAAATATATATATATATATATATATATATGTGTGTGTGTGTGTGAGCGAGGGTGCTGTGTGTGAGTGAGGGTGCTCTGTGCCTGAGTGCGCTGTGTGTGTCTGGGTGCGCTGTGTGTGTCTGGGGGTGCTGTGTGTCTGGGGGTGCTGTGTGTCTCTGGGGGTGCTGTGTGTGTCTGGGTTCTGTGTGTCTGGGGGTGCTGTGTGTCTGGGGGTGATGTGTATGTCTGAGGGTGCTGTGTGTGAGTGAGGGTGCTGTGTGTGAGTGAGGGTGCTGTGTGCCTGAGTGCGCTGTGTGTGTCTGGGGGTGCTGTGTGTGTCTGGGGGTGCTGTGTGTGTGTCTGGGGGTACTGTGTGTGTGTCTGGGGGTACTGTGTGTGTCTGGGGAGTTACTGTGTGTATGTCTGGGGTGCTGTGTTTCTGGGGGTGCTGTGTGTTTCTGGGGGTGCTGTGTGTGTCTGGGGGTACTGTGTGTGTCTGGGGGTACTGTGTGTGTTGGGGGTGCTGTGTGTCTGGGGGTGCTGTGTGTGTCTGGGGGTGATGTGTGTCTGGGGGTGATGTGTGTGTCTGAGGGTGATGTGTGTGTCTGGGGGTGCTGTGTGTTTCTGGGGGTGATGTGTATGTCTGGGGGTACTGTGTGTGTCTGTGGGTGATGTGTGTGTGTGAGTGTGATTTTTTAATTTAAATTATTTTTTTATTTTATTAATAATAATAATTTTTTAAAAAGTTATATCCCCCCCCTCCCTTCTTACCTTTAGCCTGGGAGGGGGGGGGACCATTTTGCCTGGGACGGGGGGAGCCGTTCTGCCAGGGAGGAGAGCCATGCTGCCTGATCCCTGGTGGTCCTAGTGGTGAGCGTGAACTCTAGCCTGTAGGCTAGAGTTCACTCTCGCGAGATCTGAGCGTTGCCGTGGTAACCGCGGCAACGCTCAGAATCCCGCGAGAGGACCCGGCGGAGCTGCTGGATAGAGCTCCGCCGGTCCTCTCCTCCCTCCTTCAAACCCCAGCAAGCGGCCGCCTGGAAGTGTCTCTGGGCCGGTAAAGGGAGATCTTTGATCTCCCCACCGGCCCATGGAGGCACACAGCGGGGCCGGCGCTCGGGTAGCGCTGGCCCTGCAGGAGCCGGCCGGGGAGATCCTGTGATCTCCCCTGCCGGCCTCGGCCCCACGGCCATCGCGGCCCACCGGGCATTTGCCCGGTATGCCCGATGGCCAGTCCGGGCCTGGTCTAATGTCTTTGGATCTCCTCCTTTATTTGCAGGTTTAAAATTGATTTTATTGTTATTTTTTAATACATTTAATGTATATATATATATATACTGAAAGCACCATTGCAGGTCAGAGAACACAGATACTGCTATTGTTGTGACAGTAAGCAATACAAATATAATGCTTTTGTTGGTCAGTATTGTCATTAAATTAAAGTAGATATAAAACAAGGCAAAAAACATGTTACATAAAATATAGAAAGAGAATTTGTAAAAAGTCCACCACAAGACCAAGGAGTTTAAGCCCTCCAACTTTATTAGAGAAAGTAACAAAAACTTAAAAAAAAAAAAATGGAGTTTTAAAACTGTAACGGAACCGCTGGCACCCCGACCGGGTACCTTCCGCCGACGGATGCTCCTAGTGCTTTCCGAGGACTCCAAGCACTCTGCCTGACACCATAACCACTGCAGACCCCACGAACCGCCGCAGCTTGGTTGGGATCTCGCCGTCTCCACCCACTCTGGACCCAGGACCAGGGTCCAGCTTCCAGCAGGTCGACCTCTCTCCGAATTCCAGAGAGCAGGAACAGGAACAAGCTCTTAGCAGAGCTTAGTGATTATACCCTGGGAGTATAGTGATTATAGCAATCCCCAGAGTGTAGTTTCTCCAATCCCCCAAACATGAGCCGAAACTTCATGAAGGTACAAGATGATCTGACTCCAATGAGCGTTTATTACTCCTTATATACAAGTTTTCAGGTCAGAGGCACACCCCCTGGACCTGGTGTTAAACTGTGACAAAAGGGACACAAACCAATGGGAACACTAATAAACATGATAACACTCTCACACATAACTCTCACACAATGAAATCCCTCCTCTCCATCCTGGAGATAATTGGCTTAAGGCACTGCAGTAAACTCAATTATCTCCAGGTACAGAAAATATCTACATTTAACACTAACAGCAAAATATGTAAAAGTACATAAAAATACATAATTCTTATTTTATTACACAGAACCCCCACATTTAACCTATCCCCAGATAGCTCGGATCTGAGCGCCCAATCTAGGTGAACAGCGCTCAGATCCCATGAGCAGAGTAGATTTTCCATGGGGTAAAGCATAGCAAGGGCTGTTGAGAAACCAAGGAGGGACAAAAGCAGTCAGTTCCAACTGGTTTGGCAGTGTGCCTGGGACAACGCCCTGCTGGAGAACAATAGACAGGAAATGGGGGAGGGGAAGAAACACACCTTCCCATGGATTCCAATGGGAAGAAACTGTCTTTAGAAGCCAATAAGCCCCAAATAGTCTTTTTAAATGGCAATACACCCCAGGGCCATAGTCATGAGGAAGGAGGCTGGCAATCAGGCTCCTCCAAAAGCCGGGGGCAAAGGGCAGCTTGTCACCTAACAATCCAGGGACAAAAGGCATTTCGTCACAAAAACATAACCTTTTTTTTCAATGTCTCATTTTTATTTATTTTGCATTGTAAACAAAGCATAACAAATCATATATCCAAACAAAGAGAGGTACAATTTCAGGAACAAAGCAACCTGTACATTAAAGTTACAGTATTCTTGCGGAGCATATTACATTCATCATAATCAAATATTGATATATACATTCACAGTACAGTCTCATTTTTAGTCAAAGTACAATCAATACTGTGGCCCTGTAGATGAAAGTTGTGTGGTCTGACCTTGTTCGGCAGTGCAACCCCTGTGTACATTGGTTGGCTATGTCTACTATGGATATATAGAGAAGAGTTTAGAACTTCAAGAGAAGCGGAGAGATAGAGAGAGGGAGAGAGAGGTTTAAGGGTTAAGAGAGTAACATATCTTTTTGTGCTTATTAAGCATCCACTATAGTCTTGCTTACACATTTTTTTTGTATTGTAATATTCTTTCCTATCATTTTAGTAAGTCAGACCTATGGATAAACCAGTTAGCCCATATGTGGGTGCCTTTGGCTTTTATGCGGTATGCCATTTGTTCACGGTAATAGATGTTGTCTACTCTTTCTAAAACTTCCTTTAAAGTGTATGGTTGTGGAGACATTCACCGTGCTACTATACTGGTTTTCGTTGCTAAAAGGAGATGTAGTATTATTTCTTTATGCGGAGTGTTCGCAAGTGCGGGAATCATATAAAGCAGATAAATCTATGGTCAGAATGCTAATTTAGACCCTGTTATTTGTTGTATGGTTGATTCTAGAAATGTCTTTTGTTACCCAGGTGGTTGAGCCCCTGAGCTTTGAGTGGCTGGCTGGTCTTAAGCAGAGATAAGAGACTGGAACAGGAAGATGGTAATCGTAGTCAGGCAAGCCGAGGTCAGTGGGAAGGAGAAGCAGCAAAGTCAAACAGTCCAAATTCAGCAACAGGTAGGAGAAACAGGAACAAGCTTGATTATAGAGTACAGGAACCACAATAATCTGGCAAAGGTACAGAGACAGGAAGTGACTTATATAAGCCAAAAACCAAACTCATGACCAGACACCTGACCAGACACAGCTGAAGAGAGTTGGCACTGATATCATTGCTTGTAGAGTCAAGGTTAGCAGCATGGAAACCAAGGTTTGAAACCCAGCAGAGTCAGTTCCTCACAGAAGGCCTCCCACTGTGTTAAGCAATGTGAGGCTGCTTTGGTAATCTTCAATGTCTGAAACCATTGATATAAAGGAAACATACCTATGTTGGACAGTTCTGTGTACCATAAACATAGCGGTTTCGATTTAGGTAAGTGTCCTAGACATTTATATCCGAATGCCGTTATTTCTGAGGCATTGTATTTGTGTAGTTGTCTACTAGTAATAATATATTCTCAAATATGTAAAAAAATTCCCGTGATGAGAGGGAGAACTATTTTTGGAGGTCAGAGAATGACTTAATGCCTTCTGTATCACACAACTTATCTATGGCATGGATCCTCATGTCTGCCCATTGTGGAACTGAGAGGTCTGTTTGTTTGGACCCATTAGGTTCGGTGTCCAGGTATTCCATGTTTTTGTGCAAGAGAGTTTCGTTTTCTGCACAGCCTTTAGGGGTTCGGCTTGCAAAAGTAATGATGTCATATAATTTGGTGCCATGGAAGCACTCTCTAGAGATAGCACAGAGAAGTCTAAAGACTTGTTAGGAGATGTATCCCTTGTGAGAGTGTGGATACTATATAATATGTTCGGACTCATGGTATTCCCAAGACCCCCTTCTGCGTGGGTCTCCTAACTCTCCCATGTGAGATCCGCGGAGGACGTTTTTTCCAAACATGAGCATTGATGAGAGCTTGAAATTTCTTCAGAATAGCATTAGGTATCTCAATTGGGATTGTCCGGAATATGTACAATATCTGTGGCATGACCATCATCTTGATGGCATTTACGCGACCCAGCCACAACACTTTCGGGTTTACGCATTTTTTAATTGTTGGTCCAACTTATTTAACATGGGTACATGGTTTTCTGCTATTTAAAGGCTAGATGTTCTTGTCATTTGGATACCCAGTTAGGTAAGGGACTTTTTTCGCCAGTCAAAGGTGTATTTGTCCCGCAATGCTTGAGTGATTTGGGTCGGTAGTCTTACAGGGAGTGCTTGAGTCTTTTTAATATTATTTTTATAATATGACATGCGACTCTATCTATTTATCTATCAGTTGCATTAATCTCAGTAGGGATGTGTCTGGGTGGGAGAGAAATAAATGCACGTCATTTGTGAATAACGCTACTTTTTGTTCCCCTAGGATGTATCATTACCCGAGATTGCTATTGATTTTTTTTATTATGTTGAATGAGCGTCTTTAGGCATAAACCTTTATATATTTTAGTTGGAAAAAATTGTCAATGCCCCAATTGGTGAACACCATTTATGTTCATTTAATACTTTACTAATATCTAGAACATCCAAGATAACCAAATAGTTTAAATACAATGAGAATTGAATCAGTTTTAATTGCTAGTAGTCAAATCCAAACCACTTGGGGATAATGATAAATAATTGAATTAGATTCCTATGTAACAATTATGTAGCATTTAAAAAAAAAATTGGGCTGTATTGACTCGCATTCCACCTGACCAATATTACCAGGATCCTCAGGAGTGCTGTACTGTATCTAATATCTCTAATAATATATACATTTTTAAAAGTAAATTTTTTACCAATTTTTTGTTATTCTCTTAATATAAAACAACAAAATAGAGGGTAATAATAATCAGTAATTAATAATTAAAATAAACAATATTGGCTAAATACAGGCAAGTTTGTGGATATAAAATATAAACAAATGTACTATACAAA